TGAGGAGATCCTTGGCTAATGCGTGAAATTTTAGGGCTAAAAATTTGGCACAAAAATTATTTTAATCAACACCTGGTTTCTGAGAAAAATTAAATATGAAAAACTTAATTTGTGCTCCAGAAAGGGCCTTTTCAGTTGTGTCCCTCAGTAAGGATTGTCCACAGGGAAGGATCAACCCATGGCAGGAGGTTGGAATTCAATGATCTTTAAGGTCCCTTCCAACCCAGAGATTTGTTTAAGAAGAGAATTGTGCAACAATGATGTGCAAACATCAATTTGCCTACAATTCCTCTCCAGATAAAAAAAACCAGTATAGAAGGCGTTGTAATGCTTGGAATAAATAAAAAAGGGTTGTTTTTGTAGTGATTGCTCCGTCCCCGAGGTGCTGCCACCTCTGCCTGCAGGCAATAACTGTGTGATGTTTCTCTTTCAGTCAAGTGCTTCTGCTCCTGACGTAGATGACCCAGAGGCTTTCCCAGCTCTGTCCTAAACTGGATGTCATAAAGCCAACCCTGCCCTCGTCGGGCCTTCCTCTCCGAGGCTTGCATGCTTAAGGATCCTAAAACAACTAAGAAATTGAAAAAAACAAAACAAAACAAAAAAAAAAAAAAAGAGACTGTCATTCATACCATTCACACCTAAAGACTGAATTTTATCTGTTTTGAAAATGAACTTCTCTCGCTACACAGAAGCAACAAAATATGGTAGTCAAGTTTTGTATTTAGAAATGTAATGGTAGCAGGGATGTTTTCATAATTTTTTCAGAGATTATGCATTCTTCATGGATACTTTTTTGTATTGCTGCTTGAAAATATGCGTTTCCAAACTTGAAATATAGGTGTGAACAGTGTGTACCAGTTAAAAGCTTTCCCTTCATTTGTGTTCATTTTTTTTTTAATTTAAAGTCAGCATTTTAGACTTTCCCCTTTCCCCCCACCCCAAACTCCAAACTAGGTTTTAATTATTACACACTACTTCAGTTTCCTTAATTCCTCTTTGGCAGATTTTTCTCAGCCCATGGAATCTGTGGAATATTAATTTAGCAGGCTGTTAGTGCTGAATGGAATGAACTCCTGGAGTACTTAACTTTTAATGCTTCACTTCCAACATGGAAAACCAGTCATATTTTCATCTCTGTTGGGTAGTTTGTTTACACAAAATCTTTCTAGAAAATTGAAAGCAGATACTTGAAATCAAGAGTCAAAGCACATTGGTTTATGATTCAATACCTGTGTATGGACCCAGCAATGGGTAACTGGTCTGAAAACCAGGTTTTTAAAATTCCTGTATCCTACCTTGCACTCCCCCTCTGGACCTTTATTTCCTCTTCCTTCCCTTCAAGAGAACAAGATGCTTTTTTGGCAAAAAAGAAAAAAGAGTTTTTTAATGACCTTTGCTTTTTGTTTGAGAGGATATCCTGAGATTGGGGGAATTCCTGTTATTTGGAGCTGGGATACCCTGAGATAGAGGGAATTCCTGTCCTTGGAGCTGGGATTCCATGAGTTCAGGGGAATTTTTGGTCCTTGGAGCTGGGATTCCATGAGACTGGGGGAATTTTTGGAGCTGGGAGTGGGGGGAAGGTGGCAGCCGTGGCTCTGGCAGCCCAGGTGATCCCAGGTGGGCTGTGGGATTGCACCCAGGTGCAGCAGTACCTGAGGCATTCCCAGCTCTGCTCCAGGTGTTCCCAGGAGGGAGCTGGGCTGGCTCAGGAGGGAGCTGGGGCTCGTGGTTTTGGGCTTGAACAATGGCAATCTGTGCATGGGACACCAAAAATCCACCCCAAAACCTCAACACTTCACCTCTCCATCCAAATGCAGCTCTGGCTCAGTGCAGTGCTCAGGATCTGCTTGGGACATCACCAAGGAAAGTTTTTCCAGGGAATGATTGTAAGAAATTCCTTCTCCCTCAAAATCCACCATAGGTTCAGTTTCTTCCCTGTGTATCCCTTCAATGCACAAAAGGGGTTGAGTGAATGGCTAATAGGGGATTTTGTAGGGGTTTTATCAGCATTTGGTAGGAGAATTGGAACAAATCTCCCATTTTATTTCATGTTTTCCTCTTTGGCCGTTAGAGCATGTTGGTAGTTTTGTAGGTAGGTAGAAAACGAAAGGTAACCCCCTATTTTTGTAAAAACTGTGCAGGACAGGCAGGAAGTGTTGGAGACCTTGGAATGTGGAATAGCAGCCTGCTCAGCTGGGGTGTTAGCAGCTGCCTTTGCTTTTCCTGAGCTGTTCTCCACCAGAGCTCCAGTTGGGACCCGCTGTGAGTACCATGGATCAGTTCCCTCACCTGCATCTCCAGCCCCAGGCAGGAGGAGGAGGCAGATTTTCCATCTGAGGGTGGGAGAATCCCTTGGTTCTCCTGACTCTGCTCTGAGTGTTGTAGGAGCTCAGCTGTTCCTTCTCCCACTGCCTGGTGGGATGTGCTGCCCTTCCACCTTGGGGACAGCCTGATAACACCCAAACAGGTGGAGCAGAGCTTTCCCTGGACACAGCCCCTTCTGGATCCAAACTGCTATTCCAGTTGCCGCCCAGGTGATGTTGCTGGCTGGATTTTCCCTTTTTCTGCTCTAGAGCATTCCCACATGGCACCTAGAGTGATTTTCAACACAGCTTGTAACTCAAAATTGGTCGTTCTGCCAGATGTAAATTCACCTCTTTCAGTCCATTTGTGTCAAGAACTAAAACTGTGAACATTTATCTTTAATATTGGTGGGTGTTAACTGAAATAAAGGTTTATTTTCATGCTCTTTTAAAAACAATGTGCTGAAAACCACATGGAAATGAAACCACTGAGGTTCCTAGTGGCTCACCTAGGGTCTGCCCCAGGAAGTCCAGTTTGCATTCCAATTCCCAGGATGGATTTTGCCTTGGAAAAGCATCTCCTAAGTAGGTTATTAGTGATGAATGAACTTGCTTTTAGTAACATTCTCTGTCCTCTTGCTTGCTCCTGCTGTCACACTGAATCTAGGGGACTGCAACTTTTAAATTCTCATCCTTTGGAAAAGAGAGCAGAGAAAGTTGGAGGTGTGCAGCAGATTGGCTGTGGAATGAGCAAGGGCAAGGTTTGAGCAGGGGAGTTATCAGAGCTGGAATGCTGGGAGGGAGCAGGGGGGGTTGATTGGTCAGCTCCAAGAGTTAGCTGTGTGGGAAAGGACAAGGATTCTCCTGGAATGTCAGAAATCAGAGGGAATGTGTGGTGGAGCTGAGCCCACCTGTAACTGTACTCACAGGGATGGCTTTGCAAAGACAGAGCTCTGGTTTAATAAACCCAACACTCACAGCCAGCTGTGCCACTTGCAGCTGTGCCAGCTTCTGCTTCCCCAGGGTCACCCCAGGACCCACCTCCCTGCCTTGGGCACTCTGGGCTGCTCTGCCCCAGCCAGGTTCCACTGGGGTGTCCCCAGGACAGCCAGACCTGGTATTGCTGCTGGAAAGGGTGTCCTGGGGGGGAATCACCTCCTGGGATGCTCAGGGACAGCGCTGGGAGACTGCCAGGCTGGAGTCACAGAGCTCTGCTCCTTGTCTCTTGGAGTGAGGCTGGACACGAATCCCACTTTGTGATTGATTTGGAGATTTGTGGGGTGAGGACAAAATTAATTCCAATCCTTAGGGTGAGGTAGAAAATCAGCATTCAGACAAATATGAATGGCAAAATAGTGCTTTATGAAAAAAACCTGGTTTTTGGCATCTGATTTGCCTTTCTAGCCCAGTTTGGTTTGCAGAGCTGACTGGAGGGGCTGAGTTGTGGTGCTCAGGCAGAACCCTCTCAGCAGGGTGGTTCCCAGGCAGCAGGTTCTGCTTTTTTGGATGTCTGACCCAGTTCTGAGGGAGATGTTTGCCTTTGGTGCCACCCAGCCAGGTGACACAGGTGGGAGCAGAGCTCAGAAGCCCAAAGTGCTGTGGCTGAGCTGGTATTTGGCAATAGCCAAATCTGCACTTGAGTGGTGGCGGCAGCAGCTCTGTCCCTGCTTGGGGATGCTCCAGGTAAGTTCATACCTGGGCTGCTCCTTCTCTAACTGCAACCTTTCAGCTTTAGTTTTAATTTTTAATTGTTCTGTGTAAAGCTGGAGCTTGACCAGAGAAAACAACAGGAAGCCAAGTTCAGATTTCCAACATTTTATTTCTATACACACACACCTGGTAAACAAAGTCATTAAATGTGTAACACCCTTGCAGCCTGTAATTAGAACACTCCAATAAATCACTGAAATTCCTCTTGACAATCCATTTGACTGAGTACAGATGCTGCCTGATGCTTTAGTTCTGGTGAGGAATTTTCCTGCCCTGAGCTGAGGCAAGGAAGGGGCCCTGGCTCTGGTGCTGTGTCCCCTGTGGGTCTGGTGACACTGGGGACTCGACTTGGTGCCAGGGGAGGAACAAGAGGTGCTGAGCTGTTCCATCCTTCCCTTTTGCAGTTTCATCCTTCCCTTTTGCAGTTCCATCCTTCCCTTTTGCAGTTCCTTGCTCTTCCTGGTGGAAATGATGATTTTTAACTCTGATTCTGGAACAGGGCTGGAGGCAGCCCAGGCTGCAGGAAGGGCTCCCCAAATCCCCAAAATCCAGCTCTGGCATCCCCAGTGTGCCTCTGCAGAGGAGCAGCCACGTCCTAAGGTGAGGTGTGACTGGGGAAGGGTTTTGTCACTCGGAGGTGTCACACGTGAGGGACTGGATTGGGTGTGCTGAAACACTGAAATATTTCATAAATGCTAAAATCCAGGCTGGGCTCACATCAAAACACACTGAAATACTCTGTAAAGTGCCAAGATCCCGGCTGAACTCACATTGAAACACCAAATACTCTGTAAAGTGCCAAGATCCAGGCTGAGCTCACATTGAAAACACCGAAATGCTTTGTAAAATGCCAAAACCCAGGCTGAGCTCGCATCAAAACACACCGAAATGCTTTGTAAAGTGCCAAAATTGCTGCCGGGCTCACATCGAAGTACTCTAAAGTGCCAGAATTCTTGCCGGGCTCACACCGCCCCCTGCCTCCCTGGGTCAGGAGCTGCCGCTGAGTTTCACTCGGTCCAGAGTCAGGTTCCCCGGGCAGCCGAGGGCGGCGGGCAGGAACGCCGAGGTCGGGAACACGGACAGGGGGCTGGGCTCGGGCTCGGGGGCCGGCTCCGGGGCCGGGCCGCCGGGGTTGCAGATGTACTCGGCCGCGGGCTCGGGGGGCTCCATCGCCTCCAGCAGCAGCCGCTGGTACAGCTCCGGCAGCCGCTGCTCCTCCGCTGCCCACTCGCCGTGCCCCCCGCTGCCAGCGCTGCCCGCCTCCTCCTTGTCCGGGGGCTCGGGCCGGGCCGGGCTCTCCTGCACCGGGCTCGCTTCGGGCTCCTCGAAGGCGCCGCCGGGCAGGAAGGGGCTGGAGGGAGCGCTGAGCTCCGCCTGCGGGGGACACGGAGTGAATCCCGGAGTGAATCCCGGCACGGAGCTCCGGGACGCGCTCCCCACGGCCGCTCGTCCCGCTGGAAACGGGAGAGCTGCGCTTTAATTCCCCCAGCAGAGATTATCTGCTGCCACAGATTGCTGGATTTGCTGCTTCGGGAGATTACTGGCTCGCACGGCTCCAATTGCTTTTTTAATGAAGGGTGTGGGATTAGAAGGAAAACCCCTCTAATTTACCTTGGCAGCCGCTAAGCTCTTGGCCCACGAGGCGTTGGCAGGGTCGGGAATGGCTTTGCTCTGCCACTGCGGCAGCAGGAGGGACAGGAGCCGCTGCAACCTGCAGGGGGATACATGCAATTAAAAACGTGAATGGTGAGACCTGCAGCGCCCGTGTGCTCCTCGGGTGGGGAATTAACCCAGGTGTGATCGTGGATCCGCCCTCAGAGCTCTTGGCTGGGTGGGTATAATTCCCAGGGATTGCTCCCCTTCAGTTTGGTTTCAAGATCTGGTTGAAAATTCACAGTATCTATGGGATACAGGTGTATTTTAAGCTCAGAGCCTGTTTTTATTATCATTCATGTACCTGAAACCTTAATTTTTAACAATCCTCACTGTTCCATGCTCATGAAGGGGCATGACCATCCTATGGTCATGGGAAAGGGACAAAGGGAAAATGTTTTTAAACTGAAAGAGGATCTATTTAGATTAGATGGGAGTGAAGATTTTTAAAATGCCCTGGCACAGGGTGCCCAGAGTAGCTGTGGCTGCCCCTGGATCCCTGGCAGTGCTCAAGGCCAGGCTGGACACCTTGGGGCAGTGGGAGGGGTCCCTGCCATGGCAGGGTGGCACTGGGTGGGATTTAAGATCTCTCCCAACCCAAGCCTTTGTGGGATTTAATCCCTCCTGATAACCACCCTGGTTTTACTGGGACACAGCTGATGGATCCACTCACACTCTCCTTGCTGGAGGCACAGAACAAAGGCAGGCTGAGAGGACGAAGAAGCTGCAGATGAGCCCCAGAGTCAGCCAGTCCCCAGCACCTGGAATGCAGAGCAGCCACCATTCAGCTCCAGCAGAAAGAGGAAAAAAACCCCAAATCTTTCTGTGCTCCATGGATAAACCACCCTTCACCACAGAGGAAAGAGCACAGCACTTCGGAATTTGAAGGCAAAGAAAAAGATTCCACATCCCAAACCCAGCTGAGACTGCAAATCTTCAGCACCAAGAGATCTTCAGAACACTTGGAGAGCTCCAGTGACTGCAGAGGAGCAGGGAAAGCGTTCCCAGAGAGCAGGAAAGGGGATCCAGGGCCAGGAGCACCCACACCGTGTCCTCACCGTCCAGGCAGACGCTGTCGCTGTTGCCCCGGGGCCCCTCCCCGGCCGCGGTCGCCGCTGTCACCCAGAGCTCGTGGGGCTCGCCCGGCTCCAGGTGAGGGAGGTGCAGGGAGCGAGGAGCCCCGGCGGGAACGGCTGCGGGAAAACGGGGATGGAAATGGAGAGCCTGGCACCGGAATTACTGCCTGCAGCTGGAACCGGGCTCTCCGTGAAGGCAGGATGGGGAGGAAGAGGAAGAGGAATAGGAAAAAAGAAAAGGAAGAAGAATAAAAGGGGGAAAAGAGAAGGAAGAAGAAGAGGAGGAGGAGGACTAAGGAAAAAGAAAAGGAAGACGAGTAAGAGAAAAAAAAAGAGGAAGAGGAACACAAATAAGGGAATGAATAGGAAGAAGAGGAAGAAGCAGAAGAAGAGGGGAAAAGAGAAGGAAGAAGAGGAGAAAGAGGAATAAGGAAAAAGAAAAAGAAGATGAGTAAGAGAAAAAAAGAAGAGGAAGAGGAAGAAGAGGAGGAATAGGAAGAAGAGGAGGAGGAATAAGGAAAAAGAAAAGTAAGAAGAATAAGAGGGGAAAAGAGAAGGAAGAAGAGCAGGAAGAGGTTTAAGGAAAAAGAAAAGGAAGATGAGTAAGAGAAAAAAAAGGAGGAGGTGGAAGATGAATAAGAGGAGGAATAGAAAGAAGAAAAGGAAGAAGAATAAAAGGGGAAAGGAGGAGGAAGAAGAAGAAGAGGCAGAAGAGGATTAAGGAAAAAGAAACGGAAGATGAGTAAGAGAAAAAAAGAAGAGGAAGATGAATAAGAGGAAGAATAGGAATAAGAAGAGGAGGAGGAATTAGGAAAAAGAAAAGGAAGAAGAATAAGAGGGAAAAAGAGAAAGAAGAGGAAGAGGATTAAGGAAAAAGAGAAGGAAGATGAGTAAGAGAAAAAAAGAAGAGGAAGATGAATAAGAGGAGGAATAGGAAGAAGAGGAGGAGGAGGAGTAAGGAAAAAGAAAAGGAAGAAGAAGAGGAAAATGGAGGAGGAAGAGAAGTAAGAGGGGGAATAGGAAGAAGAAGCAGAAGAAAGAAGAATAAGAAGAGGAATAAGAGGAGGAAGAAGAAAAATAAAAGGAGAAGAGAAGATGAGGAAGGTAAGGAAGAAAAAGATAAAGAGGAATAAGAAGAGGAGGAAGAAGAATAGGAGGAGCAGGGAGAAGTGATATTTTCAGGCTGAAAGTGATCCCACAGGAGACCCTCAGCAATGACAGGGGAGCAGGGGAAGCATTTCCAGTGCCAGGCACTCACTGTGGACCTCGGGCTGGCCCTGCCCATCCTTCCTGTGCAGGTAGATGTGGTACCCAGTGATGCAGCCCCTCTGCTGGGGCGCTGGGATCTCCTCCCAGGAAACCAGGACGCCGCTGGCCCAGGGGGTGCTGAACATCTGCGGCCCAGCTGAGGGGGCTGCAAGGCACAGGAGTGGTGTTAGAGCTGGGCTTAAACGCCTTACAAACACCTGGACAGCATTCCTGGGGTTTACCTTGAGCTGTGGAGTTTCCCCTGACTGATGCTGCCTGCCCAGCTCTGTCCTGATAAAGTGCAGACACGTGGATCTGATAGCAGACGTTATCTCTGATGTGCTCTGGGGGGAGAAATTGCAGCTGCAGAGCTGCTCCTGCAGGGATTTGGGGGAGAAATCGCAGCTGCAGAGCTGCTCCTGCAGGGATTTGGGGGAGAAATCGCAGCTGCAGAGCTGCTCCTGCAGGGATTTGGGGGAGAAATCGCAGCTGCAGAGCTGCTCCTGCAGGGATTTGCAGTCAGGGCAGAAATATTGCAGCGGCTGCTTAAATCTGAGATAAATCTTGTGATTATTGATAGATCTTTCATAAAGAAGGGAAAGAATTTTTTTCTGATCTATTGAGCCTGGCAGAGCCTTACTGGGCTTTAAACTGGAAATTAATGGTTGCCCACTGCCAGAAGAAAGGGATAAATAGGATATTGGGAAGGAATTGTTCCCTGGCAGGGTGGGCGGGCCCTGGCACAGGGTGCCCAGAGCAGCTGTGGCTGCCCCTGGATCCCTGGAAGTGATTTTAGTAAAAATGATAGAAATATATAGAAAATATATAGAATATATAGAAATATATAGACTATAGAATATGGACTATACATAAATATATTTATATATATATATAAATGTATAGAAATGTATAGAAATATAGACTCCCAAACTGGTTTGGCTTGGGAGGGACCTCAATGCCCATCCAGTGCCACCCCTGCCATGGCAACACCCCCCACCATCCCAGGCTGCTCCAAGCCCCATCCAGCCTGGCTGAGGAGCCCAAATTCCCACCTGACTTGTTGCCAAGGATATTTTCCAACCAAGCTGGTGCCGTGCCAGCCCGGGGTGACATTACCTGCTATCACAGGTGGCATTACTGCTATCACAGGTGGCATTACTGCTGTCACAGGTGACATTACCTACTATCACAGTGGACACGTGACATTACCTACTATCACAGTGGACATTTCCTGCTGTCACAGGTGACATTCCCTGCTGTCACAGGTGACATTACTGCTGTCACAGGTGACATTACTGCTGTCACAGTGGACAGGTGGCATTACTGCTGTCACAGGAGGCATTCCCTGCTATCACAGTGGACATTTCCTGCTGTCACAGGTGACATTCCCTGCTGTCACAGGTGACATTACTGCTGTCACAGTGGACAGGTGGCATTACTGCTATCACAGGAGGCATTACCTGCTATCACAGTGGACAGGTGTGTCGGGGGCAGCTTCACCCAGCTGTGGGGGGGCTGCAGCTGTGGCTCCCCCCAGGGCTCTGCCCACTCCACCAGGTACCCCCCGAGGGGCAGGGCGGCTCCGGCAGGGGGGCTCCAGCTCACCAGGATGCTGCTGTTCCCCAGGCCCACGGCGCTGACGCGCTGGGGAGGGGGCAGATCTGGCAGGGGAGAACAAAACCCAGAGTCAGCACAAGGTTCTGGCAGCCTCAGTCCACCCAGCGATGTGGGGTTTGCTGGGTCTCATCCACTTTGGCACCGTGGGGAGGATAAAATGAATTGTAGTGAAAGGGAAGGTGCTGATGGCAGGGTGAGGGTTTGCTGGCAGGATCAGCGACATTCCTGCCTTTTCTCATGGATGGGACACCCACAGCTCGGCCTGGCTGTGCCATCCCAAGCTCTGGCAGGGCACAACCCAGCACCCTGCCCCAATGGAGGCACTGGGATGTGGAGCTGCTGCGGTGATTCCAGAGGAGGAACGGGGACATCCCGAGGGCTGGAGCCCCTCTGGCTGGGAGAGCAGGAACCGCAGGGAAAGGGGATCTGCACGTCCCTGAGGGTCACTGAGGTGAGCACAAGGCGGAGGCACCGCAACCCCTGCAGGGGTGTGGCCCGGCAGGGGTGTGGCCCGGCAGGGGTGTGGCACAGCAGGGGTGTGGCCCGGTAGGGGTGTGGCCTGGTAGGGGTGTGGCCTGGTAGGGGTGTGGCCCAGCAGGGATGTGGCCCGGCAGGGGTGTGGCCGGTAGGGGTGCGGCCTGGCAGGGGTATGGCCCAGCGGGAGTGTGGCCCGGCAGGGGTGTGGCCCGGCAGGGGTGTGGCCCGGTAGGGGTGTGGCCCGGCAGGGGTGTGGCCCAGCGGGAGTGTGGCCCAGCAGGGGTGTGGCCCGGCAGGGGTGTGGCCCGGCAGGGGTGTGGCCCGGTAGGGGTGTGGCCCGGTAGGGGTGTGGCACGGCAGGGATGTGGCCCGGCAGGGGTGTGGCCCGGTAGGGGTGTGGCACAGCAGGGGGGTGTGGCCCAGCAGGGGTGTGGCCCGGCAGGGGTGTGGCCCGGTAGGGGTGTGGCCCGGTAGGGGTGTGGCACAGCAAGGTGTGGCCCAGCAGGGGTGTGGCCCAGCAGGGGGGTGTGGCACAGCAGGGGCGTGGCACAGGGGAGGTGTGGCCCAGCAGAGCAGTTCTCCCAGCCATCCCCAGCCGCAGGAGCCTTACCTGGGCTGCCCAGGTGTGTCAGGACGGTGGCAGGGGCGGAGCTGCCCCGCGGGCTCTGCGCTGTCACCGTCACCCTGTGCCCCGCCCTGGGGGTCACCCTGGAGAAGCTGGTCTGGGTGGTGCGGTGGGACTGCGCCGGGAGCTTCCCCTGCTCCAGGGCTTCCAAGGTCACGTTGTAGCACAGGATCCTCCCTCCTGCCTCCCACCTGCTCAGAGCCTGCGGGGACAGGGCCTCTGTCACCGGCTGTGAACGAGGGGCTGCCCCCTGGGAGTGCTGGGGATGGGCACGGAGGGACAGCACACAGGGAATGGCTTTACAGGGACACAGGGCAGGGAGGGATGGGATGTTGGGAATCGGGAATTGTTCCTGGCAGGGTGGGCAGGCCCTGGCACAGGATGCTCACAGAAATTTTGGCTGCCCCTGGATCCCTGGCAGTGCCCAAGGCCAGGCTGGACACTGGGGCTGGAGCACCTGGGACAGTGGGAGGTGTCCCTGCCAGGACAGGGGTGGCACTGGGTGGGATTTAAGGTCCATCCCAATCCAAACCATTCCAGGATTTATTTGTCCCACCCAATTCCAGTTTTGCTGTGATAGCACACTGAAACCCTTCCTGCCCTGAGGACATTGAAACCCTTCCTGCCCTCAAGCTGAATTCACACTTTTTTTTTCACTGAACGCCACACTTTTTCACAAGGAAGGCAAAAAAAAGATGATCAGCTGCTCAGCTGGATTTGTCAAAATGACCAGGTTTTGCTTGGGAGGAAAACCCTGGATTTTACTTAAAGCCACCATAAAGAATTATTTAAATTGAGCCACTCAGAGCACACACCTCTGCCAGTCTGCGGAACACCACACCCTGGTTTTACTCCCCTCTGGGCGCCTGCAGTTGTAGTCTCAGTTTTAGTTTCCTGATGTTTCTGTGACATTAATTCATTTATTTAGCTGATGTTTGTCATAATGAAACAAAGCACAAACCAAAACGTTTGCAAAGCTTTGGGAGCAGCTCAGGCCTGAGGCAGCGCTGCAAACCTGCTGAAGTTAAATTTTCAACCCTTTTCCTGGGTGTTTGTGTGAGAACAAGGGCACACCCTGGGTAGGAAGTGGTGCTGAGTGTCAGCCTGGCCTGGGAGCTGCAGTGAAACCTCTAAAGGCAGTTTATTACCCTGTTTTATGAATGATGCTGCAGGAAGTTACCCCTGATAAAGAAAGTGCTGCAAGATAAAGGTCTGCAAGCTGAAGCCACAAAGTCTGGGGTCACAGAATTACATGAGAATTTCTGCTTTCACTTGCAGCGTGGTGTTGTGTGGGGGGAACACAGTGAATTTTTTTACCCAACTCTGGTGGGTTTTAAACCAAATTCTGTGTGGAATGTGCCCTGTGGGGTTCCAGCCCCCAGCTCTGCCCAGCAGACCCCAAAAATGCTGTCAGGTGGGGAATGTGGAGAGGGGCTTGGGATAAAGGGAGGGACGGACAGGACACAGGGAATGGCTCCCACTGCCAGAGGGCAGGGCTGGATGGGAGATTGGGAATTGGGAATTGTTCCTGAGAGGGTGGGGAGGGGTTGGATGGAATTCCCAGATTTGCTGTGGCTGCCCCTGGATCCCTGGCAGTGCCCAAGGCCAGGCTGGATGGGTTTGGAGCAGCCTGGGACAGTGGAGGTATCCCTGCCATGGAACAGGATGACATTCAGGATCCCTCCCAATCCAAACAATTCTGGCATTCCGTGAAATTGCAGGCAGAAAAATGCTGATGAGTAAGAGGAGGAATAGGGACGGGACCCTTGGTCTGTGTCTCTGTCCCTCGGAACTGGTGAAACCTTTGTGCTCCTTCCCTGCCATCCTGAAAATCATCATTTCCCCTCTCACCTGGCTCTGGTTTCATTTCCCCTCTCACCTGGCTGGGTTTTGCTGCCTCTGCTGGGCTATCCTGGGTTACCAGGTGTGCCTGGGGCTGTGTGTTCTATCCCATCTGTCAGAGGTGGGGCAGTTGTCTCTGTTCATTGGGCAGCTTTCTTTATCCCTCCCATACCCAATCCTCCCTCCAGGAGATCTCTGCTGTCCATGGGCCATTAATTATTAATTATCTGCTGTCCATGGCCAGTGAGTGTCCCTGCATGGCTGATCCAATCCCATCATCCCATGGGGAGATGCTCCGCCCAGGGGAGGAGCCAAGCATTCCTACCTGGGTACAATCTGAGCTTTGGGACAACAGAAACAGCCTTTCCCTGCATTCCCAGAGGAGCAGCTTTCTCCTGCTCTCACTCTGGCAGGTTTGTTTTGTATTTCTGCATTTTCATTTTATTTTTATTTTTTCCCTAATAAGGACCCTGTAATTCCTTCTCCCGCATCTTTGCCTGAGAGCCCCTTAATTTCAAAATTATAACAATTAGGAGGGAGGGGGAATCCTTTACATTCTCCATTTAAGGAGGCTCCTGCCCTCCTGAGCAGGCACCTGTCTGTTCCAGCCAGGCCGTGGGGTCTCACTGCACTCACCTTCCAGAAAAAGGAGAGGTTCTGGAGCCCTGAGCCCAGCTCCTGCTGCCGGTACCACACATCCAGGGTCCCTGTTGGCACTGGAGACAGGGAAAAGCAGAGCAGAGGCAGTGGTTGGGGCTTGGAGCCGACAAACAAGGAGGTAAAACCCCTGAGAAAATTCAAATGTAATCCTTTAAATGGCCCTGAAGTGCTGCAGGGTGTGATAACCCGGGTTTGCTGCTGTTTGGCTGCTTTGAGGGTGGGATCAGGAGGAGAACAAGAACCCAGGGAGAGGAGCTGGGGTGTCCTGACCTCAGTAAATCTGGGTGGCTCCCAGGGGAAGCCACACATCAGAGCACAGCATTAGCTCCTGTCTTTGCATAAATTTGAGGCTCCTCAAGGTCCTTGGGCTTGGCTCCATCCATCCCAGAATAACAGGCAGCCTCGGATGAGGGCGTTTAGGGGATGTGTGGGATTTTACTGTCCAGTAAATGCCTTTAACAGCTTCAACCCCTGTTCCTTCCACAGTTCTGACTGGAAACTCTTGGTATTTTGAAGAAACCTCCCAAAATGGCATCAAAAGGAAGAGCTGGCTCCCAAAATCCAGCACCAGAGGTGAATGGGGAAGGAAAGCTGAGGGGACAGGGGATGGCAGAGCTTTGCTCCTTGAGCAGCACCAGCTCATCAATTGAAGCATGATCATTGACAGCTGGAGCAGGGGCAGCTGAGGAGCACCAGGGCTGTGGCACAAACCCCTCCAGGTCAGCACGATGGGAGCAGCTTGTCCTGGGGTGACTGCAGAGAGAGACAGGAACAGAAACAAAAAGCAGCAGCAGAAATAAAACCAGAGCACTGGCTGCAAGCTCGGAGCAGAAAAATCCCAATATGGGATTGCATCTGCTGCCCTCCAGCCTGGCTTTGAAAGCCTGTGAGCCACACGAACCGGGGCTTTGGCAGCTCACACAAAAAGGAGCAGGAGCAAGAATTTCTCCTTGGGAAGGGTTGATTTTGGGTGATAACTTGTGGAGAAGCTCAGCTCCTGCAGCACCGGGCGGTGGGGAGGCGCCCAGAGCTGCTCATGTGCAGCCTCCCCTCGCTCTGAGGGCACAAAGCTCAGCTGAAAACCCCCGGGGCAGGGTGGGGGTGACAGCCACAGACTCGGGGTGCAACCAAACGGGGAGAAGGCTGTTGAGAGGAAGGTGGGGGAGGCAGGGAAAAGTTCACACCTCCCAAATCAATCAATGTCTCTTACAGAAATCGCTGCTGTCACGGGGGAAAGGGGAACTGGGTGAGTCAGAACAGCACCAGCCCCACGGGCTGGCAGTAATTCACAAAAACGAGCAGCCAAAGCCAAGCTGGAGAGCAGAGAATCGCAGAATTACTGGGGCAATCATCTCATTCCAACCCCCAAATCCTTCAGCTCTTCTCAGGGAGCTCTGGTTTGGAGCAGCTTCACTCTTTGCTCATTAAAAACGCAATTTTCTTACAGAAACTTCTCCCTGTTGGCTCGGGGTCTGGATGTGGAGCTTGCCCAGAGGAGCCCAGCAGCAATTTGGGCTCCTGAGCTGGAGTTTGCTGTGGGTGCAGAGCCCAGAGCTGGCTCAGGCAGGGCAGATCTTTACCAATTTCCCAGTTTAACACCAATTCACCTTTACCTGCTGCCGGGGTGCTGCCCTGGGCAGGGCAGATCTTTACCAATTTCCCAGTTTAACACCAGTTCACCTTTACCTGCTGCTGGGGTGCTGCCCTGGCTGCTGCTCCAGTCGCTCCACAGCCCCCGGCCCGGCAGCATCCTGCAGCTCACCTGGAACTCGTGGGCTGTGTCGGGCTCCAGCCCCTGCAGGTGGAATCTCTCCCTGCTGAGGCTCTCCACCTTCAGTGGGGATGGAGAAATTGGTGTTAGACTCCCGAGGAAACGAGGGCTGCAGGCAGCGAGAGGCCGAGCTACAAATTCAGACACGGATTTAAAAACAGCAGCCTCAGAAACTCAAAGAATGATGCAAGGGAATCGTCAGGCCTGCAGGGTTTAATCTGAAAAATCCCTCATAGCAAAATCTCTATTTTAAAAGCTCCCAGCAAAGCGTTCTTTTTGCCACTTACAGTAAAAATTTCATGGAATCGTGGAATGGTTGGGTTGGGTTGGGCTGTCCCAGCCTGGCCTTGGGCACTGCCAGGGATCCAGGGGCAGCCACAGCAAATCTGGGAATTCCATCCCAACCCCTCTCCAGGGAATAATTCCTGATTTCCAATATCCCATCTCAATCTACCTTCTTTCAACTCCCAGCCATTCCCTGTGTGCTGTCCCTCCATCCCTGTCCCCAGTCCCTCTGCAGCTCTCCTGGAGCCCCTTCAGGCCCTGCCAGGGGCTCTCTCCTGCCCAGCAGCTGCAGAATTCCAGAATCCCATCAGGATTACCGTGCTCCAGCCGTGCCTGCCGAGGGGACGGTGCCTCAGCCTGCAGTGCTGGGCCTGTGCCTCGTGGTGCCACACGATGGTGCAGCTGGTGCCTGAGGAATCATCAAATTCCACCGAAAACTCGGGAGGGAGCGGCTTCACTGGCACCCAAACAGAGAAACAAACAGAGAAACAAACAGAGAAACAAACAGGGCTCAGTGAGGCAGCACGGCCCTGAAGGGGGTCAGGTGGGAAATAGGATTGTTGCTTTAGGCTGGATGGGTGGTTTTTCCAAGAGGTTTAATGTTTAACGTTTTTTCCAAAAGGTTCTGACTATTTTCAGGTGTCCCCAAGGTCTGGAGCTGTCTGAGGGGTGCCTTACCTATGTCTACCAGCGTGAAGGTGAGCGGCTGGGAAGAGGCATTTCCTAATGGATTGGAGGCAGAAACCACCACGCTGTAATTGGAGCCAAAATCCAGCCTGCTCAGAGCCCCAGAGCCAAACAACACCTGGCTGGGAGCTTCTTCTGGAAAGGAAAAGGTGTTGGTGCCGTTGGAGAGCCTGGAGCAGGAGCAGAGGATTGGTTGGGTTTCTGTGGAGCAGGAAAGGTGAGCTCTGGGGTGTGGGGTGTCCTGGTTTAGGGATTCACCCCAGGACAGGGTCAATCCTGGGGTGTGGGGTGTCCTGGTTTAGGGATTCACCCCAGGACAGGGTCAATCCTGGGGTGTGGGGTGTCCTGGTTTAGGGATTCACCCCAGGACAGGGTCAATCCTGGGGTGTGGGGTGTCCTGGTTTAGGGATTCACCCCAGGACAGGGGGACAGGGTCAGTCCTGGGGTGTGGGGTGTCCTGGTTTAGGGATTCACCCCAGGACATGGGCACAGGGCTCCCTTTCCAAAGGGATGGATTGGCACAGCCCCTTCACTGAACCCCGAGGGGGCTGGCAGGGCACGCTGAGGAAGCTGCTGCAGGGGATAATTAGGCGTTAATTGCATTGGCACCCCAGCACTCACTGTATCCCATAGGCAGTGGGGAGGTAGGTGAGCCTGCCCTTGTGCCAGGTGCAGGTGGGACGTCCCTGTGTCCCCTTCTGGATACAGGACACGTTCCTGGGCTCGTCTGGAGGGTCTGAAACAGAAATTCCTGTCAGTCCTGACATCCCTGATCTCTCAGGATGGTCCTTCAGGCCAACACCTCCATCCAGAGCAGGCTGCCCAGAGCTCCAGTGGCTCTCCCCAAAGATGTGGGTAGGGGACACGGAGGGGATGCAGGGCAGGGAGGGTGGTGTTTGCTCTGGGCAGGGACATTTGTTGAGCCTCCCTCCCCTCAGGAATATCAGAGCTGCCCAATTCCAGCCAGGAATATTCCCATGGGACTCCCAGCAGCAGCCCTGGACAAAGCCACCCCCTGGCAGTGCCTCTCGGGCTTCCCTCTCCCACAGGGGAGCTGCGAGAAGCAATGGAGAGCTTCGGGCAGCGATCCAGAAGGGATTTTCCTTACTGCCACAGTGGATATCGATGCCACAGATGAGCGCTGTCCTGCCCCCGCCGATGCACTTGCAGGTGAAGTAGTGCCTGCCCTGGGCGGTGACCAGCAGGGTTTTGCTCACCGAGCCCCCCTGGGCTCGGCTTTGCTCGGAGCTGTTGAGGAAAATCGCTGCCCGGCACCAGCCCCGTGCCCGCGGGGCTGCCAGCTGGCACGACAGGGTGACGTTGGTGCCCGCAGGGACGGCGCAGCAGGGGCTGGCGCTCATGGTGCCCTTGGCACAGAGCTCTGTGGCACCGCGGGCGGCTCTGCCGGCGCTCGCTGCCCCCCTCCTGCAGGGCCCTGCGAGGGAAAGGCAGGAACAGAACCCTCAGCAGAGCCCTCGCTGCCTGCAGGACGGGCTGTGCCCCAGCAGGAGCCTCCCCAGGGGTTCGGTGGGGAAATGCCAGGCTGCGCACAGGAACTGCTGGCACCTGTCTGGGATCAGCAGCCACGGGCCGCTCCCAGTCCCCAAAATCCCAGGTAAACACAGGTAAGAACTGCCAGAACCCTCCTTTTGTTGGGATGGGGAAAGTGCCTGGGTCAGCAGAGGAGCAGGAAGGACCTGGAGCCAGGCTGGGACACCTGGGGGGGCTCACCTGGAGAGGAGAAGGATCCAGGGAGAGCTCAGAGCCCCTGGCAGGGCCTGGAGGGGCTCCAGGAGAGCTGCAGAGGGACTGGGGACAGGGATGGAGGGACAGCACACAGGGAATGGCTGCCAGGGATGGATGGGAGATCGGGAATTGAAAATGTTCCCTGGCAGGGTGGGCAGGGGCTGGGCTGGAATTCCCAGAGCAGCTGTGGCTGCCCCTGGATCCCTGGCAGTGCCCAAGGCCAGGCTGGAGCACCTGGGACAGTGGGAGGTGTGCCTGCCATGGCAGGGGTGGCACTGGGTGGGATTTAAGGTCCTTCCACCCCAAACCCAAATTCTGGGATTCTGTGAACCCGTTTTTTCCTGTTTATGAGCTCTGCCTGTCCCAGTGCCTTTTCTCACAAACCCAACAGCTCTGCCTGGAACTGAAAACCAAACAAACTCCCTGCATCACTGATGAAACCCAGAAAGGAAAATGTTCACTGGCACTTGGGGCAGAAGCTGGAAAAACCCCACCCCAATTAGGCTGAGTGCTTCATCTCAGAGTTAATTGCTGTGTAGGAAGAAGCCTCTCTTACCTGCTGTGAGGTGCAGCACCAGCCACAGTGCTGAGGGCACGATCCGTGGAAATGGCATTTTGGTGCCTGGGGAGAGAGGAATTCCTGTTACCAGCTCCAAAAACGTGGAGATATCATGTACACATCTTGGTGGTTTTCTAATTTTCCTGCTTTACCACTTTCTACTTTATTGCAAAGTAGAAAGTCGTAAAGTAGAAAAAAGATTTGTTCAGAAAATCCCAAACGCTCATTTTGTGAGACCTTTCTAGTGAACATTCTCTGGTTTTGTTTGAAGCCAGGGGCTGTGTTGTTGTTCAGCAGTGTCTCAGCCCAGCCAGGAGCTGGTGCCTTCTGTAGGTGATTCGCAAGTGCCAGGATGAGCAATCTCAGCAGCTTCTTCAGGGAAATGCTCTGCCTTCCACTAAGCCTGGGGGCTGTGTCAACAGCCTGCGAACAGCTGCTGCTCACAGCGAAGGGCCCGAAATATCTGAGAAAACGGGCAAAATCCAGCCTGAAATCCAGCCTGAAATCCAGCTTTAAAATCCAGCTTTAAAATCCAGCCTTAAAATCCAGCCTTAAAATCCAGCCTAAAATCCAGCCTGAAATCCAGCTTTAAAATCCAGCCTCAAAGTCCAGCCTAAAATTCAGCCTCAAAATCCAGCCTGAAATCCAGCCTCAAAATCTGGCTTCAAAATCCAACCTTAAAATCCAGCCTCAAAATCCAGCCTAAAATCCAGCCTCAAAATCCGGCCTTAAAATCCGGCCTCAAAATCCAACCTCAAAATCCGGCCTTAAAATCCGGCCTCAAAATCCAACCTCAAAATCCAGCCTCAAAATCCAGCCCTGCTTCAAAGCCTTTGGTCAGAGGATGTGAGCTCTGATGGGAGTAAAGGATGAGAAACTGCTGAGGAGCAACTCCAGCTCAGAGCTGAGAAAAAGGGAAATTAATGGGAAATTCGGGTGGATTAATAGAGGGAAATTAATGGTAAATTCGGGGGAATTAAAAGGGGGAATTAATAGGGGGAAATTCAGGGGAATTATTAGGAGGAAATTCAGGGGAATTAATAGGGGGAAATTGATGGGGAATTCAGGGGAATCAATAGGGGGAATTAATGGGAAATTAGTAGGAATTATTAGGGGGAAATTAATTGGAACCCCCCTCCCAGGTGGCACAGCAGGGAGGGAAATCAGCCTTGCTGGTTGGAGGGTACTGAAACACCCTCAGGGGCTGTCTGTGGGTACCAGCCTGGTCTGTTCATGCTCTTACCCCAAAATCTCCTCAGAGAGCCCCAGGCCACCCTCTCTGGCCCCCGAGGATGTGCCCCAGGGACTCTGGCTGTCCCTGCAGCTCCGAAGTGAAAGCAGCTGAGAAGCACCACAGCCCAGAGCTGGCTTTCAACCCCACTTGTCCCTAAAAAACCTCTGCTGTGCTTTCCAAGAACCGGCAGGAACAGCAGGCTGGGCAGCAGAGGAAAGAGGAACATCTCAGTCATTTCAGGCACAATAACCCCAAACGTGTGCCCCGAATCTCACCCATCCCCAGTTCCTGGCACTGGGTGAGTTTCTGGGGAAGCTCTGTGAGGACAGTGGCACCCCGGGTCACCCCAAACCTCCGCACTGTCCCACCCGGGGCTGTTCCCAAAGCTGCCAGGAGTGAGGGATGGAATCAGAGCCCAGGGATGCCAGGAGGGGCCTTGGGCACTGCTCTCCTGGGGCTGCTCCATCCCAGCCTGCAGGGAATATCTGGGATGGTGAGAATTCCTGGGCAGCAGCATGGCCGGAAAACACGGATCCCGAGGCAGGAAAATCCCGGGACAGAAGCACCCCAGGGCAAAGAAGATCCCGGGCAAAGAAAATTCCAGGTAAGAAAAATCCCAGGTAAGGAACATCCTGGGGCAAAGAAAACCCTGGGGCAGCAGTATCCCAGGGCAAGGAAAATCACAGGACAAGAGCATCTCACAGCAGAGAAAATCCCGAGTTAGAAGCACCCCAGGGCAAGAGAATCACAAAACATTGAACATCCCAGGACAGCAGCATCCCAGGGCAGGAATACCCCAGGGCAGGAGCATCCCAAAGCAATGAACATCCTAGAACAGCAGCATCCCAAAGCAATGAACATCCTAGAACAGCAGCATCCCAAAGCAATGAAAATCACAGGGGCAGGAGAATCCCGGGGCAAAGAAAACTCGGGGGCAAAGAAAATCCCAGTGCAGGAACATCTTGGAGCAAGAATATCACAGGGCAGCAGCATCCCAAAGCGGTGAAAATCTCGGGGCAGGAGAACCCCAAAGCAATGAAAATCCCGGGGCAGGAGAATCCCAGGGCAATGAAAATCCCAGAGCAGCAGCATCCCGCGTGGTGCCGCCTTTCCCCGGTGCCCCGGCCGGGGTTCCTCACCCCGAGCCCTTCGGGGCTCCCCCGGCACCCCCCGGTTCCCCCACCAGGGTTCCTCACCCGAGTGCCGCCTGTGCCCCGGGGGATGCTCGGGACGGGAAAGGAAAGGAAAAGAAAACAAAGGGAAAAAGGGAAGGGGAGGGAGAGGCGAGGAAGAGGAAAAGGAGATTAAAAATAGAAATTTTGCTCAGAGCGAGGGGCTCGTCCAGAGGCACATCCACTCTCATTTTAGCTTCTCTGTCAGATGATTTTTGCTTTCTCTCATTTTTTCAGCACTCCCGCAACCCACCGCCGCATTTAACAGAGCTTTAAATTAATTAATATCCTGCTATTGTTGTTCCTTCTCTTTTCAGGCCATCAATGACATAAACTCGGCTTTTCTGCCTGACTGCGATCAGCTTTCCTTACCTCGGACGCCTCAGCACGGGTGTGTCAGGGCAGCTCTAGAAACGAGGGGACACAACATGTGCAGCCCCCAGGAACCCCAAATCCTGCCTTTGAGCCTCCAGCTGCTTTTCCTGCCCCCAAACCCCAGGAAGGAGCACCATTTGGGCTCCTTTCCCGATCTGCCAACAATTATCATTCATTTGCTGTGGTCGGCCAGAGGGGGGTTGATACCCCCCGAAATCCCGAATATCCGAAGCTCCGTTTTACCTCTGGTTTCCCGTCTGTGCTCATCGGTTTCCGCGTTGGTTCCCGTGTTCCGGAGCGGTCCCAGGGGCTCGGTGGGACGCGGCCCATGCGCTCCATGCGCTCCGGGGCCGTTCGTGCCCGAGCTCCGCCCGGAGCGGGGCCGGGCCGGTGCCGCCGCCCCGGGGCCGGTGCCAGCGCGTTCGGGGGACGGTGCGACGGATGGATGGACGGCTCCGGTGATCGGCTCTGCCCGCTAGTGACAGGCGGGAGGAAATCACCAGTCCACCGCTTGTTTCCTTTTTGCTTCTATTTTTTTTTCTTGTTTCCTTTTTCTTCTCTTTTAAAAAAAGTTTTGGTTTTTCTTTGTAAATTTTCTTGCCTTTATATAATTGTTTGCCACTTTTCTTTTTTCTTTTCCCCCCCTTTCTCTTCTTTCGTGGTTTTTCTTTGCCTTTGTCTTGTTTAATTTTTCTTCTTTCTTTTTCTATTGCGTTTTCTTTCTTCTTTTTCTTTTTCTCCTTTTTCTTTGTCCTTTTTCTTTTCCTTTTTGACCCGTTTTCCTTATTTTCCCCTTTTCTTTTTCCTTTATCCTTTCCCCCTTTTTATATTTTAAAATATTTTAAAAATACTTTATATTTTTATATTTTTAATATTTTTATCTCTATCTTGTTTCTTTTTATCTTATCTTTTTGTCATCTTTTTTCTTTATCGTCTTTTTCATCTTTTTCCCTTTCGTTTTATCCTTTTTAATATTTTTCCCTTTCTTTTTTAACTTTTATCTTTTTATCTTTAATCTTTTTATCTTTTTTATCTATCTTTTTTCTTTCTTTTCATGTTTTTATCGTTTTTATCTTTTTCATCTTTTTTATCTTTTTATCTTATCATCTCTTTTCTTTATCATCTTTTTCCCTTTCTTTTTTATATCTTTTTATCTTTTTTATAACCTTTTTTATCTTTTTTATCTTTTTATCTTTTATCTTTTTATCTTTTTTCTTTCTTTTTATGTTTTTTATCTTTTTAATACTTCTTATCTTTTTATCTTTTTATCTATCTTTTTTTCTTTATTTCATCTTTTTTATCCTTTTTTAATCTTTTTCATCATTTTTATCTTTATATCTTATCATCTCTTTTCTTTATCATTTTTTCCCTTTCTTTTTATATTTTTTTACCTTTTACCTTTTTATCTTTTATCTTTTTATCTATCTTTTTTCTTTTTATGTTTTTTATCATTTTTATCTATCTTTTTTATCTTTTTTATCTTTTCATCTTTTTATCTTTTTATCTATCTTTTTTATATTTTTTATTTATCTATATATTTTTAATCTTTTTTATCTTTTTTATCTTTTCCCCTTTCTTTTTCCTCCATTTTCCTTTCCTGCTTTCCCCTCTCGCACACTTTTAAGCCCCAAACTCTGCTTTTCCCAGCAATTCTTACTGCAGGAGTAGCAGTTCTCATGGAACGCTTTGGGTTGGAATGGACATTAAAGCTCATCCAGCGCCACCCCTGCCATGACAGGGGCACCTCCCACTGTCCCAGGTGCTCCAAACCCATCCAACCTGGCCTTGGGCACTGCAGGGATCCAGGGGCAGCCACAGCAAATCTGGGAATTCCAGCCCAGCCTCTGCCCACCCTGCCAGGGAACAATTCCCAATTCCCAATCTCCCATCCATCCCTGGCAGCCATTCCCTGTGTGCTGTCCCTCCATCCCTGTCCCCAGTCCCTCTGCAGCTCTCCTGGAGCCCCTCCAGGCCCTGCCAGGGGCTCTGAGCTCTCCCTGGATCCTTTTCCTCTCCAGGGGAGCACCCCCAGGTGTCCCAGCCTGGCTCCAGAGGGGCTCCAGCCCTGCAGCAGCTCCATTGCTCCCTCCTGGTGTCCGTCTGTCCTTCCCTGGAGCTGGCCATGGAGCTCTGCCCCAGCTGCAGCAGCAGGAGGAGCCGTCCTTCCCCGCAGGTGGCTGCTCTGGGGTCCCCCTGCCGTGGCTCCTGTTTGCCATCCCTTTGTGACTCTGCTGTCCCCAGCAGGATGGAATGAGTCACCCAGCCTGGAAAATCCCATTGTTCATGTTTCTCCAAGCTGCCAGCCCGGCCAGGGAGGGCCCAGGGAGGCTTTGGGTCCAGCAGTGCCCTGGGGGATTGGATGGTGCACAAAACACATCCACAGCTGCATCCCAGCCCTGCTGCCTCATCCCAGCCCTGCTGCCTCATCCCAGCCCTGCTCTTTCATCCATCCCATCCCTGCTCCTCCATCCCATCCCTGCTCCTCCATCCCATCCCTGCTCCTCCATCCATCCCTGCTCCTTCATCCCAGCCGTGCTCCTCCATCCATCCCATCCCAGCTCCTCCATCCATCCCTGCTCCTTCATCCCAGCCCTGCTCCTCCATCCCAGCCCTGCTCCTCCATCCATCCCTGCTCCTCCATCCATCCCTGCTCCTCCATCCCAGCCCTGCTCCTCCGTCCCATCCCTGCTCCTCCATCCCAGCCCTGCTCCTCCATCCCAGCCCTGCTCCTCCATCCCATCCCAGCTCCTCCATCCATCCCTGCTCCTCCATCCCATCCCTGCTCCTCCATCCATCCCTGCTCCTCCATCCCATCCCTGCTCCTCCATCCCAGTCCTGCTCCTCCATCCCATCCCTGCTCCTCCATCCCAGCCCTGCTCCTCCATCCATCCCTGCTCCTCCATCCCATCCCTGCTCCTCCATCCCAGCCCTGCTCCTCCATCCCATCCCTGCTCCTTCATCCCAGCCCTGCTCCTCCATCCCATCCCTGCTCCTCCATCCCATCCCTGCTCCTCCATCCATCCCATCCCTGCTCCTCCATCCCATCCCTGCTCCTCCATCCATCCCATCCCAGCTCCTCCATCCCATCCCTGCTCCCAGGGCTCTCCCAGTGCCATTCCCATGGGATTTGCCCTCATGGGAAGGTGGCACTGGGGGCTGGCACTGTTGGGGAGCCTGGTGAGACCCAACCACAGCCTCCCCTCTCACATCCCCTGCTCTGAGTCACCAGCCTGGTTTCAGTCTGAGCTCAGCCCTGGGCAGGGCTGCTCACCCTCCTCCCCAAACCCCACAGAGGCTCAGGGATGGCAGAGGCTCCCCAAAATCCCATCATTTTTAAGGATTATCCCCAGTTTTTCTGCGAGGCCGCCCCAGCTGCTGCTGGCTTTGCCCTGGCAGGTTCTCAGCAGGGTTCTGCTGAGCCAGGCACTTCTCTCTGCAGCTTTGCAGAGCCTGGGTCGCAATCTGGGCTTTGATCTGCACTCTGTGTGCTCAGAAATCCCCCGAGGCCTGGGTGTTACTGAGCTCTGTGAACCCTCCCTGCCTGGAATCCAATTTTAGCCCTGCAGTGCCTTTATCAGCCACGATCTCTCCACAATTCACTGACAGCCGGGCCCTGGCAGGGTGGGCAGGTGCAGACAGGAGTGAACCCAGCAGCGCCAGGTTACTCAGAGCAGGTTTCTGTCACCTCCTGCTGCTCTTCCCAAGGGCTTTAAGGGGTTTTTGGCCTTTGGTGCTGAGGCTTTGCCAGCTGCAGGAACCCAGACTCTGTAGATAAGGAACGAATGAAGTGACGCCATCAGTTGGTGACTAAGCTGAGCCTAAACCCAGCTCTCTGTGCTGCCAGCCTCAAACAGAATGAATCCCACTCCTCCTGCATGGCAGTGGCACGAAGGGGTTAAAACCGCAGCTCAGAGGCACATTAATACACCGTTTATTATGTGTTGAATTTATTTATTGCTTCTTCAGTCTCGTTTCAGGTTCAATAATTCCAGGCTGACTTTTTGGGGAGGTGAACAAATCCCACAGGGGAGCCTCTGGCTGATCCCTGGGGGTGCTGGGACCTCCTTGCACCTTGAGCTCCCCCTGGTAGACACAGACACCCGAGACAAAAAATAGGATTTTTGCTCAGAGCAAGGGGCTCATCCAGAGGCACATCCACTCTCATTTTAGCTTCTCTGTAAGATGATTTTATATTTTTTATCTTTTTAATATTTTAATCTTAAAAACTCATCTGGAGTTCAGAGCAGGAGTGAGTGCCTCTCTCTGTTTTCCAACCCCCCTGAGCTGCCTGCACCCAATTCCTTGTTCCTTTTAACTTGTTCCCTCCTTCCCTTATATTTATAAAAAAATGTCTTTTTAAAAGAAATATTCTTTATAAAAAAAAATTCTTTTTTTTAGAACTTCCGTGGTGATGAGACAACACCGTGGTGCATCTCTGTGGGTCCTGAAAATCATGGAATTCATTCCTGAGCTGATAAACAAGAGGGAATCTCTGCCACTGGATCTGACTGCCAATGGTAAAACCGAGCTTAAAACAGGGGATAGAAAATCCTGATACCAAAAATGAGGGGCTTTGGAATATTTGAGGGAAGGAGGGAACCCTGAGAAGTTAAATCAGCTGGGAGTGACAGTGTGATGGGATTCATGGGATGCCCCATCCCTGGAAATGCTCCAGGCCAGGCTGGATGGGGCTTGGAGCAGCCTGGGATGGGGTTTGGGGTCACAGAATCCCAGAATGGTTTGGGGACCCTTAAATCCCACCCAGTGCCACCCCTGCCATGGCAGGGACACCTCCCACTGTCCCAGGCTGCTCCAGCCTGGCCCTGGGCACACCAGGGATGCAGGGGCAGCCCCAGCTGCTCTGGGCACCTGTGAAATCTATCCTGTAGCAGAAATATCCCCTTTATTAGCAGAAATATTCCCTTTATTGGCAGAAATATTCCCTGTATCTCCCAGGGATCAGGGCAGGATGGCACTGGTGGCTCTCTGGTGTCCATCCATGCTGGGAGCTGGGAATTCTCCATCCCTGCTCCTGGGAATGCAGTGCTGCTCTGCCCAGGGGGATCTGCAGGGTTCCTGGGGCTGGGAATGCACCCAGCAGCTCCTGGAGGGCAGCACCAGCCCTGTTTGGCTGGGGAACAATTCCCCGCCAGGTTTGGCAGCTCAGGTGAAAGAGCAGCACAAGCCTCAGGATGTGGACTCTGCAAAAAACCCTTCCCCTCCTCACGCTTGGGCTGCTCAGAGTCCTGTGGTGTTCTTGTACAACTTCCTTCCTGCTCAGGCAGCACTCTCTAATTCAATTTATTCAATTTTGGGCTCCCTGCCCTGCCACACTCCCATTTCTGTGCTGGTTTGCTGCTTCTGAGGGGGAATCCTCCCCTCCTTGCAGGTCACTGCTCCTCTAGACACTGTGACAGACTGCTGGGGCAGGGAGGAACCAGCACAGCACACACCAGGGGGATTGGGAGTGTGGAGGGCAAGCAACAAAATAAATCCATTTGTGCAGCAGCTGGTGGAGAAATGCTCACAGTGCATAGGAAAAACAATAGGGAAAAAAATGGGAATATTTTGTAAGTCCCAGGACACCTGGAGATGGTTTCAGGGCTGCTGAAGGAAGGCAGCTGCTGTGTTTTACCAAAGATCCAAATCCATGCTCATGTGCCGGGTAAATCCCATTTTCCTGTGCCACACTGCCCTTCCCACAGCCAGGCTGGGGGGTGACAGGGTGCTGTGAGATGATAAATCCCTCACCCAAAGGGAAGCAGTGACCACTTCAGAGGGGTTTTAAATCAGTCTGGCAGGAGGTGGAGGTGTGTTCTCACCTGAGTGGGTTTTTATTGGGAACGGGAGGAAAATGAAATATGGAAAATATTCCATGTTCTTGGTACCACTGTGACACATAAATCCTCCTTGGTGCAGTGCCTGTTCATCAGGAGCAATCCCAAAATATTTGCCACATCTCTGCCAGGATGTCTGGGGGACTTTTATATCCATTTTAGCTGCAATTACCTCCAGGAATGAAGTGCTCCAAACAATTGGGAATGAAGTGCTCCAAACAATTGGAAGGCCATGCTCCAAAAATTTGAGAATGAAATGCTCCAAACTTCTGAAAATGAACTGCTCCAAACTCTTGGGAATGAAATGCCCCAAACCTTTAGGAATGAAGTGCTCCAAACAATTGGGAATGAAGTGCTCCAAACATTTGGGAAAGCCATGCTCCAAAAATTTGAGAATGAAATGCTCCAAACATTTGGGAATGAAATGTCCCAAACCCTTGGGAATGAAGTGCTCCAAACCCTTAACAGGAAGATGATGCTGAGCAGTAATTGAAGATTTTGCATCCTGCAGGAATCTCCTGCTTAGCATCCCAGGAATCCAAGCTTTATGGCTTTTTTTTTTTTTTGCTTCTGGCAGTGTGAGGTAAGGTTAAAATCAGAATTTGCTGGCCCAGGATTCCCAGTTAGCCCCAAGAAGCTGCAGTGGAGTAAGAAGGCACAATTCCAGCGGGGAGCGTTGCTCTGGCTCTGCCGTTGGCCATCCCGGTGCTGACACCACCTGTGTCCCCACTCCAGGTTTATCCCCAGTCCCAGCTGCCCTCAGAGCAGCCCTGCCATGCCGTGTGGGATGCAGGGTCCCTGTTGGTGGCCCTCAGGCAGGACAGCAGCTCCTCGGGCACCAGCATCTGCTCGGGGCCGGGCTCCCAGCGCTGCTCCGGGACGGCTCCGTGTCCGTGTCCGTGTCCAGGGAACTCCAGGCTGCTGTTGAGCACCAGGTTGATCTTGTCCAGCAGGCACAGCTGGGGGGTCCCTCCCTGCGTGTCCCACAGCTGGGGGACAGGGCTGGTGTAATCCTGGGAGAAGATTCCCACCTCTGGCTGTGGGACGGGCGTGGGTGGCTGCGCCGGGCAGATTCCGGCAGCCACGTACCCCAAAGTGTTCCCGTCGGAGAGCTGGGGTTTGTAGGCACCCAGCTGCCCTGGGGCCGGGCTCCTGGGGGCCACCACGCCCCTGGGCACCTCCCTGGGCTCGGCCACCCCTGCCCTGGCCTCAGGGTCCCGGCGCTGGGGCCGCTCCTGTGCTGGCACCTCCTGAACATCGGAGACTGCGGGGTCCAGGAAGGGCTCCTGGAGGCTGGCACTGGGGAAATCAGCCTTGTCCTGGGGAAACGAGGATAGCTGTGCCACCTTCATCCCAGCCCTGCTCCTTCATCCCATCCCATCCCTGCTCATCCATCCCATCCCTGCTCCTCCATTCCAGTCCTGCTCCTTCATCCCAGCCCTGCTCCTTCATCCCATCCCTGCTCCTCCATTCCAGTCCTGCTCCTCCATCCCAGCCCTGCTCCTCCATCCATCCCAGCTCCTCCATCCCATCCCTGCTCCTCCATCCATCCCTGCTCCTCCATTCTAGTCCTGCTCCTCCATCCCATCCCTGCTCCTCCATCCCATCCCAGCTCCTCCATCCCATCCCTGCTCCTCCATCCATCCCTGCTCCTCCATTCCAGTCCTGCTCCTCCATCCCATCCCAGCTCCTCCATCCCATCCCTGCTCCTCCATCCATCCCTGCTCCTCCATTCCAGTCCTGCTCCTCCATCCCATCCCAGCTCCTCCATCCCATCCCTGCTCCTCCATCCCATCCCTGCTCCTCCATTCCAGTCCTGCTCCTTCATCCCATCCCTGCTCCTCCATCCCATCCCTGCTCCTCCATCCCATCCCTGCTCCTCCATTCCAGTCCTGCTCCTTCATCCCATTCCTGCTCCTCCATCCATCCCTGCTCCTCCATTCCAGTCCTGCTCCTTCATCCCATCCCTGCTCCTCCATCCATCCCTGCTCCTCCATCCCATCCCTGCTCCTCCATTCCAGTCCTGCTCCTTCATCCCATCCCTGCTCCTCCATCCATCCCTGCTCCTCCATCCCATCCCTGCTCCTCCATTCCAGTCCTGCTCCTTCATCCCATCCCATCCCAGCTCCTCCATCCCATCCCTGCTCCTCCATCCATCCCTGCTCCTCCATCCCAGCCCTGCTCCTCCATCCCATTCCTACTCCTCCATCCCATTCCTGCTCCTCACACACCTGCCCTTCCCCATCTAACAGGGAATGTTGCCAGAGGAGATGGCCTCAAGTCATGCCAGGGGAGCTTTGGGCTGGATTTCTGGGAAAATGTCTGTGTGGAAAGGGCTGTCCAATCCCTGTGGCTGTGGCACTTAGGGACACGGGGCAGTGGTGGTGGTGGTTGGACTCGATGGTCTCAGAGGATTTTCCAACCTGGATAATTCTGTAAAGCCCAGCTTTAATCTGAGGGGAAGCAGAGGCAGGAGATAACCCTGCCCTCACCTGGAGTGACTTCACCACGGTGCTGTTCTCCATGTGGGGAAAGTCCTCAAACATCCACCTTGGCAAGAGGGACACGAGGGTGGCCTTGACCCTTCGCAAAAGGGAAAAACAAACCCCAAATGTTACTGCAGTGTGTTATTCAGATATTCCTCATGCAGGATGAAACTGTCTGGGTGGGAAGGACGCATGAAGAACACCCAGCCTTGGAAACTCTGGGTTCCTCATTCTTAAATTTCACCAATTTCATGTTTATTTGACTTTTTTTTGTTGCTCTCTGCCTTACTGTAGAGCACCAAAAAGTCCTTTCATATGATAAATGTGTGATATTGCCCTCAGGCTGAGGTGAAAGGGAACCTGTAGTTGATTTTAAAACATCCCAGAAGAAATTTTATATTTCTTCTATATATTAAAAAAAAAAAAAAAAAAGAAAAAAGAGGAAGAAAAAAACCCCACAAAACCCCCCAAAAAATCCCCCCAAAACCCCAAACACCTCCCCAAAAAAAGGGGTAAAAAATTCTGAATTGGGAATAAGGAAAGAAGGCATGGAGGAGAAAGGAATACCTTTTCCTGACTGACTTTTTAAACATCACAACTGCAAAAAGAACGGATAATCCGACCACGCTGAGGCTCAGTCCCAGGACAACTTGGATGTCATCATCTGCAGGGGATGGAAGGGAGGAGGTCACGGCCTGGTGCTGCCCTCACCATTCACCATTTCCTGCCCCAGAAGTGCTGACGTGAATTCCTCAGCCCGGGCTGGTTTTGCTTTTGGTTTAGGAGCTGAAACAGACCGTGACCTTTACCAGAGGATGTGCAGGCTGAGCATCCCCAGACGGGTGGGAAATGCTGAAACACGTCCCTGGTCCCAGCTGCACGGTGGAATCAGCCTCCTGCATGGGTTAATTCGGTGTTTCCTGGGTTTGACACCTCCCCTTGGACTGGGCATTGTGTTTTGGCCTCGTTTGAGAGCAGAACTCAAAGCTCGCATTCTGTGGGTGCTGCTCATCCTTCCCTGCACGTGGGGAAAATCTCCTTTATCGGCCCTTGTTGGAACCCAGGAAATCCCTCTGGCTGCCCTGGAGGGCTCCAGCCCCTGCCTGGGGGCTCACAGACCTCAGCACAGAGCGCAAGGCCCTGTGCCTTTGGTCTTGATCCATGGAAAAACAATTACCAACCTTGTATGAAGAATTACAAGTCAAAAGAGTTTAAGTAGAAAAATAGTTTGTCACAGAGTGAAAAAGAGATTTTTTCAGGGTTTTTAGAATGGGTGTCCAAGGGGTAAGATGGAGGAATCTGTGTCCAGCCTTTCTCCTTCTTCTTCCTCTTGGCCTCCCTCTCCTGCTGTGATGGTGGCACTTTGGGATTGGTTTAGAGTAGAAGCTCACTGTCTAACACAGGTGATAGGTATTGGGAAGTTATGGTAAATATTGTACAGGTAGTTTTCAGTATAAAAAGATAACACTGCCCCAGAGCAGGCAGAGTGTGTCTGTCTGTCCTGCTGAACAGACCTTGGCAGGCCAGGAGAAAGAATTTTATAGATAAGGAACAATAAACAACCTTGAGAATGAGAACCCAGAGCATCTGGGAGCTCTCAATTCCCGCTGCCAGGAGCTGCCTGGGTTAAACCTCCCACAGGACAAAGCCTGGCCTGGCAAGGCAGAGTTGCCACAGGACAAAGCCTGGCCTAGCAAGGCAGAGCTCCCACAGGACAAAGCCTGGCCCAGCAAGGCAGAGCTGCCACAGGACAAAGCCTGGCCTAGCAAGGCAGAGCTGTCACAGGACAAAGTCTGGCCTAGCAAGGCAGAGCTGCCCAGAGCACAAAGCCTGGCCCAGCAAGGCAGAGCTGCCACAGGACAAAGCCTGGCCCAGCAAGACAGAGCTGTCACAGGACAAAGCCTGGCCCAGCAAGGCAGAGCTGCCCACAGGACAAAACCTAGCCTAGCAAGACAGAGCTATCACAGGACAAAGCCTGGCCCAGCAAGGCAGAGCTGCCCACAGGACAAAACCTGGCCTAGCAAGACAGAGCTATCACAGGACAAAGCCTGGCCCAGCAAGGCAGAGCTGCCCACAGGACAAAACCTGGCCTAGCAAGGCAGAGCTGCCACAGGACAAAACCTGGCCTAGCAAGGCAGAGCTGCCACAGGACAAAGCCTGGCCTAGCAAGGCAGAGATGCCCACAGGACAAAGCCTGGCCCAGCAAGGCAGAGCTGCCACAGGACAAAGCCTGGCCTAGCAAGGCAGAGCTGCCCACAGGACAAAGCCTGGCCCAGCAAGGCAGAGCTGCCCAGAGCACAAAACCTGGCCTAGCAAGGCAGAGCTGCCACAGGACAAAGCCTGGCCTAGCAAGGCAGAGCTGCCCTCCTTACCCTGGGACATCTCGCTGTAGGTGCTGCCCAGGAGCGGCTCCTCTGCAGGGTCTGGAATAGGGAGGGGAAAATGTCTGTGGGTCCTTCCGAGGGCTCTGGGTGACACAAAACCTGCCTTGGTTCTATCTTTTCAGAAAAATAAGCAATGATTTTGTAACTTTTTGTAATTTTGATGTGTAATGAGAGCAATTAAGCTCCCTGAAGCAATGAGTAACTCCAGCTCTTCTGGGCTCTCCACATCATCCCCACAATTAAATGAGATGTTGATCAATCCTGTCCCCACCTACAGAACCTCTTCCCTGCACATCCCTCCCTGCCCTCAGCACCCAAAACAAGGATTTATTCCCCCTGGGGAGCTCCATCATTTTCCACAAGCACTCCCAGGTTGTTTAACAGCTTTTCCAGAGAAGTTGTGGATCCCTGGAGTGTCCCAGGCCAGGCTGGAGCAGCCTGGCACAGGGGGAGGTGTCCCTGCCATGGCAGGGCTGGCCCTGGGTGGGCTTTGAGTCCCTCCCAACCCAACCCATTGTGAGATTCTGTGAGATTCCCAAAGTGCCTGCACCCCTTGGGAATGGATTTCCTGATTATTTCTGTGCAGTGGGGGAAGATCTGCAGCTGGAGGCCCTGCCATGGCAAGAAGCCTCTTTCTGCTGAGATAAGCAGCCAGCTTTGATCCTGGCCAGTTCAGCAATTCCCTCTGATCCTGGCCAATTCAGCAATTCCCTTGGGATCCCTTGTCCCTGATTTGGTGCCACAGAGGAGACCCCTGCCCTGAGAACCAACAGCCAGGGCCAGCTTGGGACACCCATCTAGGAATGTCTGTTTGCATTTCCTGGCCAGGAATGTCTGCTGGCATTTCCTGGGAACAGCTGCCCTGCTCCAGGGGCTCCTGCAGGGCCACGGGGCTGCTCTGGCCCAGGAGAAACCCCTGTGCAGCCACAGAGGGCCCATCTCAGGTGGCATCGGAGCCAGGAGCTGGGGACACTCTCAGGTGTCACCTGCAGGTACTTCGGGCTCTGACAGCCCTTGATGGCCCAGCCCAGCCCCAGCTGGCCCCAGGGTGGGCTCTATTTAAGCCCAGCCCTGGCCCTCAGCCCTGGCTGGGCTGGGCTGGGGCAGCTCTGAGGCTCAGACCCTGCTCTGGTGTCCTCACCCTCCTGGGGACCTGCCCAACTCTGAGGGCACCCAAAGCTCCCCCCAGTGCTGGAAATGAGGTTTTCCTTCCCCAGACCCTTCCCAGCACTGACCCAGCTGCAGATGTCCCTCGCAGGGCTCTGTGACTCCAGGTAGGAAGGGCAGGCTGGCTCTGCCCAGCTGCTCCCTGGAAAAGCTCTGTGCTGGATTTTGGTTTATCTGCACAATCTTATTGTGAGTTCTGCATGTGCAACCTCACTTTTCTGCCCTGGAAAGGGACAACAGCTCCACTGGTGCCTCTGCTGATGGGAAATGAGGTTCTAGGCTGTTCTGGGTCTGTGCAGGGAGCAAACACCAGCTGGAGGTGGGTCTGACACCAGTACATTGATTAAATGTGTTCTATCCTTTCCTGCCCCGCTGGGTGGGAGGGTTTGCGCTGTTCCCAGCCCGGGGAGCCCCAAGGGGAGCAGCAGCAGCAGTTTCCCCGTCAGGCTCACCTGGGCTGGAGCGGGGAGCGCTGATCCCGCCGGGATACACCGCGTACAGCCGCACCTGCTGGAGAGCCGCTGTCCCTGCCGGCAAAGCACAGATTTACCTTCAAAACGGGATTTTGTCTGCTGGGCTGGGCCAGGGCTGGGTACAGAGCGGTGACAGCAGCTGGGTTGGCCCTTGGGGGACTGGGGTTGTTCCTGGCCCACCAGCTCATTTTTAATTCATTAAATAATGAATGCATTTAATTCATTTTCTTTCCCTCCCCATCCCCTGTGATCTTCACCCGGGGACCCAAATCCCACTGTCTGCCCTCAAATCTCCAGCTGCTTCCCTCCCCTCCTTCCCTAAGTGCTCTTCATGGCCCCACTCCCTCCCCCCAAAAAGTGGGCAGGGGCTCAAACTCAAGTGAAGCTGCCTTGATTGTCTGGTTTGGATTTATAATCTAATCTGGATTGATAGTCTGATTTGGGTTTATAATGCAATTCAGATTGATAGTCTGATTCGGATTTATAATCTAATTCAGATTGATCGTTTGATTTGGATTTATAGTCTGATTTGGATTTATAATCTAATCCTGATTGATAGTCTGATTTGGATTTATAATGTAATCTGGATTTATAGTCTGATTTGGATTTATAATCTAATTCAGTTTTATAGTCTGATTTGGAGTTATAATCTAATTCAGTTTTATAATCTAATTTGGATTTATAGTCTGATTTGGATTTATAATCTAATTCAGATTTACAGTCTGATTTGGATTTATAATCTAATCCAGATTTACAGTCTGGTTTGGATTTATAATCTAATCCAGATTTACAGTCTGATTTGGATTTCTGAGGTCCTGAGGAGCAGTGCCCAGCAGCAGGGGCTTCCTGGGCTGTCCCACCTGGGATGTAGGTGTGAGTTTGGTGTTTTGGGATTCTGTCCCAGCTGTGCTGCTCCTGCAGGCCGTGCTGGGGGCCGGACAGCCACTCCAGGATGAACCAGAGCAGGGGGCTCTGGCTGGGCTGGGGGCGCTGCCACCGCACCAGGACCCTGCTCTGCTGCTCCTGCTGCACCTCCAGTGCCTCCGGGGCCGGGAACTCTGTGGGGAAACGGGGCAGGGGCAACTCAAACAGCCCAAACCCATCCCTGGGGACTGGGGAGGGTCAGCCCAGCCCAGGGGAAATGTGGCTTTCCTGGAGGGGTTTGAAAGCTGAATTGTGAGCAGGGAATTATAGAATGTGGAGGGTTTGTATATAAACTATATATATATATATGATATATATTTTTATATATTTACATCAACACATATATATATTATATATATATATATGTATATGTATTGATCTGTATTTCATAAAAATATTCAGGTTGGAAAAGACCTTAAAGATCAAGGCCACCACTGTCCCATGTCCCCAAGTGCCTCATCCATGTGGCTTTTGCATCCCTGCGGGGATGGGCACTCCACCCCTGCTCTGGGCAGCTGTGCCAGGGCTGGGGAACCTTTCCATGAAGGAATTTTCCCAAATATCCACCCTGAGGCCATTCCCTCTGCTCCTGTCCCTGCTTCCTGACTGTCCCCCGGCTGTGCCCTCCTGTCAGGAGCTGTGCAGAGCCACAAGGGCCCCTGAGCCTCCTTTGCTCCAGGCTGAGCCCCTGCCCAGCTCCTCAGGGATTCTGCAGCCCCTGCCCAGCTCCTCAGGGATTCTGCAGCCCCTGCCCAGCTCCTCAGGGATTCTGCAGCCCCTGCCCAGCTCCCTCAGGGATTCTGCAGCCCCTGCCCAGCTCCCTCAGGGATTCTGCAGCCCCTGCCCAGCTCCCTCAGGGATTCTGCAGCCCCTGCCCAGCTCCATTCCCTGCCCTGGGCACTCTCCAGCCCCTCACTGTCCCTCATGGGGACAGTCCCTGCCCTGCGCCTGGCACAGCCCAGGTGTCCGTGGCCCTCCAGCTGTGCTCCTCCCCAGCCAGATGTGGAGCTCTGTGCTTGCAGACCCCGCACCCTCAGCTCTGAAATGCTTCAGCTGTCCCTGCTTACCAGAAACATGCAGGGTTCTGATAAGCATCAGAGCCGAGAGAGGTTTTTCCACCTTATTTCTCTTCAGTTTCCTTTTAGTCATGTGTTTGTCCTCAGCCTGAATGGGACTTTCCCCTCCCATTGCTCATTCAGAGACGTTTTTCAGAACGAGCAAAACGTGGTTGTGGGGGGAAACCACACCTCGGGGCACAGGGACCATAATGCGGCCCTAAAAGGATTTAAAAGGATTTTTTCCCCCCCTTCTTTTTCAGTTTGCAAGGACCCAGCTCCCAGGAGCAGCCTGGCACCCTTTGCTTTGCCAGCCAACATGGGCAGGGCAAACTTAAAAATGAGTTTGTTGCTGTAGCCTTAGGAGGTGCTGCAGGGCTGAGATTCCAGGGCCTAAAGGAGCTGCAGGAGAGCTGCAGAGGGACTGGGGACAGGGATGGAGGGACAGCACACAGGGAATGGCTCCCACTGCCAGAGGGCAGGGATGGATGGGACATTGGGAATTAGGAATTGTTCCTGGCAGGGTGGGCAGGGGCTGGGATGGAATTTCCAAATTTGCTGTGGCTGCCCCTGGATCCCTGGCAGTGCCCAAGGCCAGGCTGGACATTGGAGCAGCCTGGGACAGTGGAGGTGTCCCTGCCATGGGACAATGAAATGAGCTGGGCTTTAAGGTCTCTCTCAACCCAAACCACTCCAGAATTCCATAATTCCACATCCAGCTGGGGAACACCTCCAGGGGGCCTGTCTGGAGGGCTCTGTGCCCCTGGTGGAGCGGGCAGAGCTGTGCCAGGGCTCTCCCGGTGCCCAATCCGGGCAGGGTCGGTGCCGGCGGTGCCCCCGTACCTTGCGGAGCTGCCGCCCAGTTCAGGGGGATGCTGGCGGGGCTGGAGGCGCCCTTGGCGTTGCGGGCGGTGACGAGGAGGCTGCGGGCCCCGGGCGGCACCAGCAGCGAGCACTCGGTGCCCGCGGTGAGGCACAGCGGCCGCAGCGCTCCCGCGGGGCCCTCGGCGCTCACGGCGTAGCCCAGGATCCTCCCGCGGGCATCCCGGGCCGACAGCGGCTGCGGGGGCGAGAGAGGCCGGGATCGGGGGGTCTGAGCCCACACCCGGCCGGGATCGGGGGGTCTGAGCCCACACCCGGCCCGAGGGCTCCGCAGGGAGGCGGCACCGGCGCTGCCCGGGGAGGAGCGGCGGAGCCGAGGCCGCCCCGAGCCCGTACCTTGATCAACACCGTCACCTCGTGGCTGCCGTTCGGCAGGGCCCGGCCCAGGCGCCGCCACACGGCGGGAGCGGCGGCGGGGGCTGCGGAGGAGCGGGGACACCGCGAGTGACACACCGCGGGGGACACCGAGGGGACAGCGTGACACACCGGCGGTGACACTGGGAGTGACACCGTGACCGACCGGAGGGCACCCGGGGCTCCCACCCACCCGCAGCCCCTCTCGACGGGTTGACAGAGGAGCAGGAGTGGGCGCTGCTGTTTGGGATGAGCCGCCCCCGTTCCCGCTGGCACCGGCACGGGAGGGCAGCGCTGCCTCGCTCATCCGTGCCAGGCTCGTGCCAAAGCCAGCAGCTGGCACGGATGGGCGGAGCTGGCTCAGGGTGACCGCGATTTGTCGCGACACCTCGGCTGGTGTGGTTTTCCCACCCAGGGCAGCAAGCGGGGCACTGAGGACCGCGGGTGTCGCCGGCGCTGAGCGCACCTGCCTCGGGGGTGCGGTACAGGAACGGGGGGCTCCAGGCGCTCCAGGGGCTGCGGGCGCTGCCGAGCCGGCACCTGGCCTGGAACACGAACTCGGTGTCGCTCTGCAGCTCGTGCTGCCAGCGGGGACCCTCCGGGGGCACCTCGGCACACGGCTCCACCTGCCAGGGAAGCACAGGGGCGCTGGGGGTGACGCGTTTTACGGGCGAGCGGGACACAGCGGGTCCCTGTGCCACCCCTGCGGGATGGGCAGGACCCGCCCTGTCCCCTCCGGTGCCACCTTGCGTGGCACTGCCAGAGCCCCCAGCCACACCGGGAGTGCCAGCACGGAGATTTTGGGGCTCCTGTGGCAGCGGGGGTCCAGGCTCAGCCCTGGCAGCACTCAGGGATTTTCCATCCCTGCCCCAGCGTGGGTTTGGGGTTTTTTGTCTGGGGTGTGCTCTGAGCGTCCCCAGGATTTTGTGCCTTGTCCTTGCAGAGCAGAACCTTTGGAAACATTTGGAATTCCGTGTTTTTGCTCAGAAAGCCGAGCTAACCCTGCCCACGAGGCCATCCGCTGTCCCTCCCAGGTGGCACCAGCTCTGCTGTCCCCTGCCTGTGGCCGGGGGTGCCCGTTTGAGCACGCCAGAGCACAGGGGTGAGTCTGGAATACCCCCAGGTATTCCCATTGCCCGGGGGTCTCCAGCAGGAGCGGGACTGGGGTAGTGAGGGGGTTTGGGCTCTCACGTGCCACGCCGGGGCCCCCCTGGCCCTGTGCCTCTCCTGGCAGCGCACGTCCCTCAGGCGCGTGAGGCTCCTCCAGCGCGTGGTGGTGACGGCTGGGGACGTGTCCGTGGTCTCGGCGCCCATGGGCACGGGCAGGGCGGGCACCACTGCGGGCACAGCAGGGAACGGGGCCGTGGGGACTGTCCCTGGGCTCAGGGGTGTCCCCAGAGTGACACGGCAGGGCAGGGAGGCCAGGCATGGCCGCAGCACGCCATGCTGCTCATGGGGGGACAGAGGGAGGGATGGTGGAGGGATAATGGAGGGATGGAAGGATCGATGGATGGAGGGATGGATGATAGATGGAGACATTGATGGACAGATGGATGGACGGATGTAGAGGGATAATGGAGGGATGGAAGGATCAATGGATAGATGATGGATGGATGGATGGATGGACTGACGGATGGATAATAGATGGAGACACAGATGGACGGATGGATGTGGAGGGATAATGGAGAGATGGAAGGATCAATAGAGGGATGGATGGACAGATGGATGGATGATAGATGGAGACACAAGATGGACAGATAGAGGGACAGATGGATGGACAGATGGACGGATGTCCTTACCCAGCTCCTGCAGGCTGAGGCGCTGAGGGGCCGAGCGGGCAGTGCCCAGCGCGTTGCTGGCCTGCACCCACACCCAGTACTGGCTGTCGTTGTGCAGCTCCCTCAGCAGCACAGGTGAGTCTGCAGGGAAGGTCTTTTCTTCCTCATCATCCTCCTCATCCTGTGCCACCACCCTGGAAGCAGAAGGCAGCCCTGTCAGTGCCCATTCCAGCACCACATCCCCGCTGGCACAGCCACCCCTGCTCCTGGGGTGTCACAGCTCGTGACCAGGGCATGGCCACCTCCAAACCTGGTGTTTGTCACCCCTAAAGCAAGCTGGGAATTCATTCCTTTCCCTGACACTGCTGCTGGGGATTTGTATTTCCACAATGGGGAGAGAACTCCTTCCTCCCTTTCTGGCTGCACGGATCTGTTTGATCCCAAATTTCGGCAGGAGCTTTGTCCCTTCTCCTCACAAAGCTTCCATGTGATGGGATTTAATGCCTTTAAAACTGAGTCAGGAGAACTGACAGCCTGCAGGGCTGGGGCCATGGGGACCAGCCATGGCATCCTGGCATGGGTGTGACATGCCAGGTATGCCATTGGGATCAGCCATGGCATCCTGGCATGGGTGTGACATGCCAGGTGAGGACCTTAGTGGCAGGGAGCATCCCGGGTGGGACTGTGACACACTGTGTGGCAGCCAGCACCTCTGCTTCAGCTTCCAGCTGGGCTTTGGGGTTTGGGCAGTGTTGGGGTCACCCTCTCCTTACCCCGGAGGGAGCCCCAGCCGCTGGAAGCTGCAGCTTCCTGTGGCAGGGCACGGTGGGACGTGAGCCAGGGCGCTGCGGTGAGCGTGCGGCTCTGGGGCAGGAGGTGACAAAACGTGAGCTGAAGGAAGTGGAACTGGGACACGGCAGGGCCGCTGTCACCGGGGTCTGTCACCCGGAGCTATCACCCGGGATTGTCACCGGGGTCTGTCACCCGGGATTGTCACTGGGGTTGTCCCCAGGGCTGTCACAGGGGCTGCCGCCCCCGAGGCTCACCTGCGCAGGTGGAGGCTGTGCCGGGTGGGCAGGTGCGTGGTCCGGCCGCGCTCCCATCCGCACCGCAGGTGCTCCGAGCCCTCGGCGATGGCGCAGCTCAGGTTCCCGGGGGGGTCCGGGGGGTCTGCGGGGCGAGCCCGGGTGAGGCGCGGCCCCGGGACAGGGGGCGACACGGGGGGACACGGGGGGACATGGGGCACTCACACCCGGCTCGGGGGCACACGGGGCACTCATAGCCCGACACGGGGGCACACGGGGCACTCACAGCCCAGCCCCGGGACACGGGGGGACACGGGGGGACACGAGGGTCCCACGGGGCTCTCACAGCCCAGCCCCGGGGGAACACGGGGGTCCCACGGGGCACTCACAGCCGGCCCGGAGCTCGGTGCCGCACACCACGCGGTGTCTCTGGGCGCAGCGGGAGAAGCAGGTGACGGTGACGAGGGGCAGCTGGAAGCGGGGCAGGTGGAGGCGCTCGGCGCCGTCGCGCAGGGCCAGCAGGGAGCTGTAGTTGAGGGAGATGAAGAGCTGCTGCGGCGAGGGGCAATCCAACGAGGACTCGCAGCCGATGGAGATGTCGGAGCCCAGCAGCACCACGGGCCCGGGCTCGGGCTCGATCCACACGCGCCCGTTGCACGTCAAGTTCGCAGCACCTGCGCCAAAGCGGGTGAGCTATGCCGGATCTATCCCGGGGCTGTCCCGGGGCTATCCCGGGGCTGCAGGGCTCGGCAGGGAGCGGACCCCTTCCCTGGGATGCCCTGCAGCCAGGGGATTACAGCCCGCCCTGCTCACCTTCAACCCCGTGGGATGCAGGTAAACTGAGGCACGAGTGATGCCGGGGAGAAATTGTCCCCCTGAGGGTGCCCAGAGCAGCTGCGGCTGCCCCCTGACCCCTGGCAATGCCCAAAGCCAGGCTGGATAGAGCTGGGAGCGCTCTGTCCCTGCTCCAGGTCCCTCCCACCCAAACCAGGCCTGGGATGCGCCCCCCGCCCCCGCTGCAGCGCCCCGGCCCCGCTGACTCATCCCGGCCGCTCAGAAACGGCCCCGTTCCGCCGGTTTCACCCATCGCGGGGCCGCTCTAACGTTAAATGAGTGCAGGGAAATAACCCGAGCTCCGAGAGCTCTGATCCCCCAGATTAACGCGGCGGGGGCGCGTCCCTTCCCTATCAGATGGAGCTCGGCAGCAGCGCCGGCTCTCGGCGCTATCGGCTCCATCTGCCCTTCCTGGAAAGGGCAGGGCTGAGCCCGGGGGCTGCAGGGGCAGGGGCAGAGCTGGCACGGGGGCTGCAGGGCCCTGGGAATGTCCCCGGGATCCTGGGAATGTCCCTGGGAATGTCCCCGCTCCAAGGAGGGAAGGGGAAGGAGAAGGAGCTCAGGGCACGGCACCCCTCCCACAATGCTCCCCTCAAACCCCACAGCTCTGGAATTGTCCCGTGGCCACCCCAAACCCCCCGCGGGCCCGGGGCGCGGCTCGGGTGCCATCCCGGTGTCCCTGTCACCGTCACTCACCCGGGCACAGGCAGCAGAGCAGGACGGGCAGCACCAAAGCCTGGCCGGGCCCCGCCATGGGCTGGGCTGCGGCATCGCCTGGGGGTGGAAAACCGTGGAGAAATTCCTGCAGGGAGGATGTGGGGTCGGGGCAGGGAGAGCTGAGCAGCCCTGCCCTGGAGAAGGTGGGACCGGGGGTCTCAGGGGGTGCTGCCCCTCTGCTCAGAGCCCCCCGGGTGCTGCCTGCGGGGCTGGGGACCCAGGGACACGGCGGAGATGGGGATGCGCTGGGATGAGGTCCCCGAGGGTCAGCAGCACCTGGGATGTGTGGAAGGGCTGGGGGAGCTCTGGAATGAGCCCCCCGAGGGTCGGGAGCACCTGGGATGTGAGGAAGGGCTGGGGATGCTCTGGAATGAGCCCCCCGAGGGTGTGGAAGGGCTGGGGGAGCTGCTCAACCTGGAGAGGAGGGGCTCAAAGGGGATCCTTGGGGATGGATGTTTGATGAGGAGTAAAGGGGAGCGAGGCAAACTCCTCCCAGCGACAGGACAGGAGGCAACGGGGTCAGGAAATCAGGAAATTCCAATTTAACATAAAAAAGGCTCTATAAATGTCAGAGTGGGGCTGGCTGCCCTGAGGGCTTTGGTCCTGCAGTCTCCATCCCCGGGGCTGCTCAGACACACTTTTATAGGATGGAAACTCCCTGTTTCCATCGCATCTTCCCCACAGGTCCTGCCCAGGCTGAGCCAGGCTCTTCCCAGCACTGAACCCCCAGAGACAGCCCCAAAATCCCAGGCCATGCTTCCCACCCTTGTGCCTGCACCCCACTGCTGCTCAAATCTTCCCCTGCTCCCTTTGCCTCTCTCCACAGCCTCTTTGGGAGAATTCCCACAAGCCAGGAAAGCAACCCCAGCCTCACCAGCCTGGTGGGGCTGTGTTTGGGGCTGGAAGGGCTCTGCAGCACCCACAGACTGGTGAGGAGCAGGGAGATGCAGCTCCCGGGGGGGAATTGCTCCTTTCCATCCCCCTGGAGGCATCCCCTGGAGCTGGGGTGGCTCCAGCACCCCCAGGCCCCTCTGGGGTCACAGAGCAGACCCCAAACCAGCCCTGCCACCCCACTCTCCTGCCTGGGCTGAGCAGAGCCCACGCTCCCTCATTCCCCGTCCCCGTGCAATACCTGCTGTCAGCAATGGCGAGTTTCCCTGGAGGGAGGCCAGAGTCCTCGGTAAAAGCCTCAAAACGCAGCTTTTCAGCCCAAAGCAGGCCAGCAGCAGCAGCAGCAGCAGCGAGTGCTCTGGTGCTCCTCGTGCGGGGTGAGGTGACCTGGTTTGGTTTTGGGGCTGATCAAGCGTTCGCCGTGGGTGACTCAAACCTCAAGTGCCTCCCTATTACCTGACCTACAAAGAGAGGCTGTCACTTCCCAAGTGCCCACGAGCCTGCTGCAAACCAGGGCAAGTGAAAAAAATGCATTGGGGTCCTGTGAGAAGAGCTGGGAGCTGTGAATGTGCCCAGCTCTGCCTCCTCTGGAATCACCTTTGTGTTTTTATTCCAGTTTAGAGGCGTTTGCAGACTCCAGAGCCAAAGGAACGAGGCCATTGGGAGATGCTGGGCTTTGAGCTGCTCTGCTGGTGCATTAGGGCTGAGGAAACGGGAATTCAGCAGGAAGGGAGAGGCTGCTCCGCGGTGCCAACCCAAACCCCACAGAACCTTCCCCGGGGCTGTGCCAGGAGGGACAAATGCAGGAGCAGAGGGTGAGGAGCAGCAGGGGACGTTTTGGGTGAAATCAGGGGCTGGGAGCTGGGCAATGCTTACCTTGGCAGCGCTCAGGACGTGTGGCACCGCCGGGAGAGGGCACAGAGCAGCCGAGCTCCCTCCCGGTGTGAGTCAGTCCTTGGGGAAACCCAGCGTCCCCTCGAGGGGAAGGGAAGGTTTGGGAAGGTTTGGGAAGGGAAGGTTTGGGAAGGTTTGGGAAGGTTTGGGAAGGTTTGGGAAGGGAAGGGAAGGGAAGGGAAGGGAAGGGAAGGGAAGGGAAGGGAAGGGAAGGGAAGGGAAGGGGCTCCTCGGCGTCCCGGCAGCGTTTGGGCTCAGCGTGGTGGAGCCGAGCCCATCCCCACGGTTGTTTTTTGTCCTCGGAGCACGGCAGAGTCCCGAGAGCTCTCAGGGAAGGAGCTTCTCCTGCCGATGGAAACTCCTTAAGGAACGGGGGTGTTGTCACCAGCACCGAGTGTCACCCCTCGGTGACACCCTGTGCCACCCCTCGGTGCTCGTGCTGTCCCCAGCTGTCACAGGCAGCCATTCCCAGCGCGGGGATGCTCCGGGGATGCTCCGGGGATGCTCCTGGGCTCCGCACCCCCGGCTCCCTCCGCGGCTCCCACAGCACAGCCCGGCGCTTCCTTCCCTCGCCTCCTCAAGAGTTAAACCTCAAAAACAGTGTTAACCTCATTAGACACGGCAACCACAGGAAACCCCGCACTGCTCCCGCCTCCGCCTCGGGGAGGAAACGTCGGGGAGCAGAATTCACCCCCGGGGAAGGCAGAGCCTCCCCTGCCAGCAAACCCCGGTGCTCCGGGATTTGCCTGATCCACGGGGAGTTTTGTGGAAGGGAGAGCAGGAGCCTGCTGGGTGGTGTGGTTATGTAATGTATATAATGTGTTTAATGTGTATAATGTGTGCCATGTGCCTGTGTGGCGGCAGGAACGGCTGGGTTTGGGTGGTTACACACACCCCGAGCAGCACTGGGGGGTTCAGTTGTTCAGTTTTAGTGGGAATTTCAGCTTTGGGATGTCCTGGGAGTGCTCAATGCCCGGGGCACACAGCTGGGGCTGCACGGCCAGCGTGCACATCTGGAGCCAGGGCAGCACATCTGGAGCTGCACAGTGCGGGGGGATGTGGAGCTCTCCCGGCACAGGTGAGAGCTGCGGTTCCCGCATTTCCCAGCCCCATCTCCCTCGGCCTCTCTGCGCTCTGCTCGGGTGTCCCTCAGAGCCCGATGGAAACTGAGGCAGGGTCAGGCTGGGTTCGAGCAGGAACTGCTCCCTGTGAGGCTGGGGAGGCCCAGAGCAGCTGCGGCTGCCCCTGGATCCTGCAGCGCCCAGGGCCAGGCAGGGAGATGAAAACATCATTAGTGGATCAATGGAACATTTGATTTGTTATCCTTGGTGGGAGCGCTCGGGGATGAAGGGAAAGGTCGGGAGGGAGACGGCTCTGCTGCTGGGGGACACGGGGGACACAGATGGGGCACAGGAACAGGCCTGAACCCTTGTGTCACCCCCAGAGCCAGGGGACACAGGAACAGGCCTGAACCCTTGTGTCACCCCCAGAGCAGGGGGACACAGATGGGACACAGGAACAGGCCTGAACCCTTGTGTCACCCCCAGGGCCAGGGGACACAGATGGGACACAGGAACAGGCCTGAACCCTTGTGTCACCCCCAGAGCAGGGGGACACAGATGGGACACAGGAACAGGCTCAAACCCTTCTTGAGCTGCTGGCAGCTGCCAGGGGACACTCGGATATTTGATCCCAAAGCTGCCGCGGTGGCACCTGAGCCGGGCTGAGCACACTGTCCCTCCGGGGCTCCCCCGTCCCCGCGGTGGGACAGGGACACGCCAGGGACACAGGAATGAGCGCTGCTGGCCTCAGCCCCGCTGGCACGGCGCTCCGGGCACGATTCGGTTCCTCCCCGCGCTGGAGCAGCCGCGGTTCCCTTCCCGAGCCCGGGCTCGCTGCAGGAACAAGGAAGGTGATGCCAATGTCAGAGCTGTGATTTTTGGCTGGGGTAAAAGGGCACCCGAGATACGGGGAGGTTGCTCCCGGACTTTAAAGCCGGTTTGTCCTTCCTGTAACCCTGCCAGGGAACAGCCCCTGCTCCTTGCAGCAGCACAGAGGGGAACGGGCCGGGAAAAGCAAAGCTCGGGCAGGGTTGGATTTTCCCCGCCAGGCCCAGCCCGGCGTGCCCGGGCAAGCGAAGCTCCTGACCCGGGGCCATCGTCCTCCACCTCCCTGCGGAGCCTGCAGGCCCTGGCTGTGCCCAGGCAGGCCCTGGCAGCGGGGAAATGGGGAATAACCCTTCCCAAAAGGGGCTGTAAACACCGCCCTGGCCACGGGCAGGGAACGTCCCGCTGCTGCCTTCCCTCCTCACTTGGGGAGCCATCCCCAAACCAGCCCTGCAGGGATTTAAAACCGTGTGGATGCACAGGGGATGGGGGTGGCCTTGGCTAGATGGGCTTCGAGGGCTTTTCCAACCTAAACGATCCCAGGTTTGATGGGATTGCTGCCGTTTCCAGGCTGAGCTGATCCCTCATCCCCATTCCCACCTCCATTCCCCCCACACCCCCGGAGCAGCTCCCCCGAGGCTGCAGCTCTGTCCCCCCACCCGTGCCCTGTCCCCTCGGGGGCTCCGGGACACCCTGGGGACGGAGCTGTGCCAGGAGGGACCGGGCTGACAGGAAGGGATTCCCTCGGTGACACCGAGGTGTGCGTGTCACCCCTGTGCCCCCACACCGAGGTGTGCGTGTCACCCCTGTGCCCCACAGACACCGAGGTGTGTGTGTCACCCCTGTGCCCCACAGACACCGAGGTGTGTGTGTCACCCCTGTGCCCCACACCGAGGTGTGCGTGTCACCCCTGTGCCCCACAGACACCGAGGTGTGCGTGTCACCCCTGTGCCCCACAGACACCGAGGTGTGTGTGTCACCCCTGTGCCCCACAGACACCGAGGTGTGTGTGTCACCCCTGTGCCCCTGACAGACACCGAGGTGTGTGTGTCACCCCTGTGCCCCCACACGAGGTGTGCGTGTCACCCCTGTGCCCCACAGACACCGAGGTGTGTGTGTCACCCCTGTGCCCCACACCGAGGTGTGCGTGTCACCCCTGTGCCCCACAGACACCGAGGTGTGCGTGTCACCCCTGTCCCCCCACACCGAGGTGTGCGTGTCACCCCTGTGCCCCACAGACACCGAGGTGTGCGTGTCACCCCTGTGCCCCACACCGAGGTGTGCGTGTCACCCCTGTGCCCCACAGACACCGAGGTGTGTGTGTCACCCCTGTCCCCCCACACCGAGGTGTGCGTGTCACCCCTGTGCCCCACAGACACCGAGGTGTGCGTGTCACCCCTGTGCCCCAGCCCTCAATCTGCCCGCTGTGTCCCGCAGGGCGGGGGCGGTTTTGTGCTCCGAGCCGCCTTGTTTTGGGATTTTTCCACTTGGCAGAGCGTGGCCCGGAGGGGGAGATTTAATCTCTGCAAGGGAAGGGCCGGTGCCAAAACGCTGCGTGCGGGGTGAGCCGAGGGCAGCAGCCGGCAGGGCGCGGGGCCCGGGGCCGCCGTGCCAGGGACAGCGGTGCCAGCTCGGCTCTGATCCCCGGCTGTGCCCCGGGGAGGGCGGAGGGGCCCTGTGCCCCTGCCCGCACGGGGGACACGCGTTTGGTGTCCCCTTGTCCCTGCGGTGCCACCCCATGTGTGGGCTCACCCACTCCCCTTCCCTGCTCATGCCCCCCGTGCCAGACCCGGGGGTTCCCCTCACCGATGCTGCCCACCCCAAACCCCCTGCGATGTCCCCCTTGCTGTGCCCCCGCACCAGCCCCGTCCCACCCCGTCAATGCCCCCAATCCCGTCCCTGTGCCTTGCCCACCCCTGCCCGCAGTGTCCCCAGCCCGTCCCCGTGCTCTGCCCACCCCAGGCAGAATCCTCCTGTCCCAACCCCCCGTTCTATCCCAGCCCCCATCACATCCTGCCCCCATCAATGTCCCCATCCCAGCCCCTGTGCCACCATCCCACCCCATCACTGTCCCCATCCCAACCCTCTGTGTGGTGTCCCTTCATCCCAGCCCCCTGGGCGATGTCCCCCATCACTCTCCTCCAAACTCTGTGTGATGTCCCCCCGTCCCATGCACCCCTGGCCATGTCCCCATCCCTGTCCCCATCACTTTACCATGTCCCCTTCCCTGTTCCTCCTCTGTGCGCTTCCCCACCGCTGTCCCATCCCCATGCCATGTCCCCCATCCCTGTCCCCATCCGTCTCCCTCCCTGGGCCATGTCCCTGTCCCTCCCTGGGCCATGTCCCCATGCCTGTCCCATTCCCTGTACCATGTCTCCATTCCCATCTCCACCCCTGTCTCCTGTGCCACATCCCCATCCCTGTCCCTCCCCTGTGCGCTGTCCCCATTCCTGTCCCCATCCCTGTGCCATGTCCCTATCCTTGTCCCCATCTCCCCATCCCTCTCCCCATCCCTCTCTCCATCCCTGTACCGTGTCCCCATCCCTGTTCCCACCTCCGTCTCCATCTCCACATCCCTGCCTCCCGCCCCATGCCATCTCCCCATTCCTGTCCCCACCCCCGTCCCCCCGGTACCCCGTCCCCCCCCCCGTGCCCGGTGTCCCAGGCCCCGCCCCGTTCCCTCCCGGTCCCTCCCGGTCCCTCCCGGTCCCTCCCGTTCCCGCCGGTCCCTCCCCGCGCCTGCGCGCTGCCGCCGCTCTGGCCCCGCCCCAGCCATGTCGGAGCCGCGCAGACGCCCCGGGGCCGCGGCCGGGGGGGGGCCCGAGGGGGCGGCCGAGGGGGGAGCCCCCGCCGGAGCCCCCGCGCCCGGCGATGCGGAGCGGGGCATGGCGGCCCCGCCGCTCTGCCTGCGCCTGCTGGCCGCCGCCTTCTACGGCCTCAGCTCCTTCCTCATCGTCGTCGTCAACAAGAGCGTCCTCACCTCCTACGGGTACGGCCGCGCCGCCGGGACCCCCTCCCCGGGAGCGGGAGTTCCCTCCGCTTCGGGACCCCCCACCTTGAGATCGGGGATACCCCCGGGACTGGGACCCCCCCACCCTGGGATCGGGATACCCCCCCGGGATCGGGACCCCCCACCCTGGGATCGGGATACCCCCCCGGGAATGGGACCCCGACCCCCCACCCTGGGATTGGGGTACCCCCTGGGATCGGGATACCCCCACCCCCCCGGGATCGGGAATGCCCCCGGGGTCGGCGTGGGGACCCCCGCGGGATGGGGATCGGGACCCCGCCATTCACTCCGGTCCCTGCGCTCGGGTCCCCCCCTGTGTCCCCCCCCTGCCCCGGGTCCTTCTCAGCCCTTGCCCCCCCCCGGTTTGGGGCTGCCGCCCCTCCATGCCGTCCTGTCCCCTCCCCGACCCCGGTGTCCCCATGCCGTGTCCCCATGGCCGTGGGGCCGTGTGCGGGACCCCCGGTGTGGGACCCCCCTGATCCGCGCTCTCCTCCCGCAGGTTCCCGTCCTCGCTGTGCGTGGGGCTGGGCCAGGTGAGTGGGACCCCGCGGTGTCCCCGCACGCCGTGTTCGGGGTTGGGGGGCCGTGGGTGACCCCTGCTCTCTTGCAGATGGTGGCCACGGTGGCCGTGCTCTGGGCCGGGAAGGCGCTGCGGGTGGTCAAGTTCCCTGACCTGGACAGACACATCCCCCGGCGGGTGAGACCCCTCCCCGGCACCCAAATCCCCTTTCCCAGCACCCCAATCCCCTCCCCGGCACCCATTTTCCCTCTCCAGCACCCCAGTCCCCCTCCTCGGGCACCCAAATCCCCTCTCCAGCGCCCAAATCCCCTCCCCGGGCTCCATTCCCCATTGCCGGGGTCCCTGTCCCACAGGGGCTCTTTGGGATGCCCGTGCCCGTTCCGGGGATCCCGGAGCTCCAGACACGTGTGAGTGTGTATGTGAGTGTGTGAAGGTTTCCATGGCGGGTGGGAACAATTCCGTTCTATTTTTATCCCCCGAGGCTGCTCGGGGAGCTCCCGGCTCGCTCCCACAGCCTCTTTTCCCTCCTCTCCTTTCCAGACATTTCCTCTACCTCTCCTGTACTTCGGGAACCAGATCACAGGACTGTTCAGCACACAGAAGCTGAAGTAGGGATGGGTTTCCCGCCCGGGAGGGTTTCGCGGTTCCTCGGGGCTTTCCGGGGTTGCCGGGGAGCCCAGCGGGCCCCGGGGCTGCGGGTGATGGGGCTCGGAGAGCCGCTCGGGGCCCTGCGCTTCCCTCCCTCCCTCCCTCCCTTCCTTCCTTCCCTCCCTGCCCACGCCGGGATGTGCCACGTGCGTGTTCCCAAACGCTCCCCGCGGGCAGGGAGGGACACGGGGCTGGCCCTGAGCACGGGCTGAGGGCTGGGGGTGTCCCTGGGGTGCCCTGTACCCGCAGGCTCGGATCTATGGGGTGTGGGAACTGTGCCATTCCCATGAGGGAATTCCCCACTAAGGGCAGGAGCCAAGCCCATAGCCCTGCTCCCATCCCATATCCCTGCTCCAGTCCCCTATCCCTGTCCTGATCCCATGTCCCTGCTCTGATCCCATATCCCCGCTCTGTTTGGGATCCAGTATTCCTGCTCTGATCCCATATCCCTATTCTGATCTCATATCCCTATTCTAGTCCCATATCCATACTCCAATCCCATATCCCTATTCTGGTCCCGTGTCCCGATTCTGATCTCATATCCCTATTCTGATCCCCTATCCCTGCTCCCATCCCATTTCCCTGCTCCCATCCCCTATCCCTGCTCCCATCCCCTATCCCTGCTAACCATCCCATATCTCTGCTCCCATCCCCTATCCCTGCTAACCATCCCATATCTCTGCTCCCATCCCCTATCCCTGCTCCCATCCCATTTCCCTGCTCCCATCCCATATCCCTGTTCCTGTCCCCTATCCCTGCTCCCATCCCGTACCCCCGCTCAGTTTGGGATGCAGGGAAGGGGTCACAGCCCCTCAGCGCTGCCCTTCCCCGCAGCCTGCCCATGTTCACGGTGCTGCGGAGGTTTTCCATCCTGTTCACGATGTTTGCCGAGGGATTCCTGCTCAAGTGAGTGCTGGGGCCGGGCTGGGTTTGCCTCTGGGAGGAAGGGGTGGGTTTGGAGCTGCCGGATCCATCCCATCCCATCCCATCCCATCCCATCCCATCCCATCCCATCCCATCCCATCCCCTCCCATTATCCCATCCCATTATCCCATCCCGGGGCAGCTGGCAGAGGGGTTTGTGCTGCTCTGGCTCCCCTGTGGGAGGTGTGGGGTGCTGTGCCAGCCCCAGCTCCTGCAGGGACCCCAGAGCCCCTGGGCAGGGCTGGGGCTGCTCCGTGCCCGGCTGAGCCTGCCCTGCCCTGCCCCAGGCAGAGCTGCAGCTCCTCCAGCCTCAGTTCTTCATCTTCTAAAAATCACAGAGATAATTGTCTAAAATGTGTTCACTCACAGCTCCTGCAGGGGTTGGTTTGGGGTTGTTTTGGGGTTGTTTTGGGGTTTTCCCCCCTTTCCTCAGGAAGAAAAGCTGCTCCCTGCTCCGGGTGTTGCCAAGGCCTGATGCCAGGTCCTGCTGCCTGTGTTTTGCAGGAAGAAGTTTTCCTGGAGCATTCAGATGACAGTGTTTGCCATGATCTTTGGTGCATTTGTGGCTGCCAGGTGAGCTGTCCCCATTCCCATATCCAGTGCAGTTCCCTGGAGTGTCCCAGGAGCAGAGGGATTCCACACTGACCTTCCCCGCTGCCAGACGTGCTCTCCAGTAGGAAAGAATGTTTTCCTGACCCAAATCCCACCCCCTCCTGCCATGATGAACTTTTCCTGGCTCCAGAGAAGGTGGAGGGACCCTTCCAGCGCTGTCCCTGCCCAGCCAGAGCTTTAACTCCTGATTTCCCCTTCCCAGTGCTGACTTGGCATTCGACCTGGAGGGATACATCTTCATCCTCATCAACGACGCCTTAACAGCTGCAAACGGTGCCTACGTGAAACAGAAGCTGGATTCCAAGGTGGGATGAGCTCTGGCTTCCTCTGGGATGTTGGGATTTTGGTTTCTGTGAGGGCGGAGGGGGAGGCTCAGCCATCCCATTCCCAAAATCTGTCCAGAGCTGCAGAGGGGCTGGGGACAAGGGATGGGGGGACAGGACACAGGGAATGGCTGGAAGCTGAAAGAAGGTAGATTGAGATATTGGGATGTTGGGAAGGAATTCCTGGCTGGGATGGGATTCCCAGAGCAGCTGTGGCTGCCCCTGGATCCCTGCAGTGCCCAAGGCCGGGTTGGATCCCTGGGATGGTGGAAGGTCCCTGCCCGTGGCACTGGATGAGCTTTAAGGTCCCTCCCAGCCCACAGCAGCCTGGAATTCCATGAGATGTGAGAATTCCCACCTGGGTTCAGCTCCAGGCCCAGTGGCAGTGTGAGCAGGAATTTCTGTTCCCGCTCCAACCCTTGGGTGTTCCCATTTCCAGGAGCTGGGGAAGTACGGCCTGCTCTACTACAATGCACTGTTCATGATCCTGCCCACCCTGGCCATCGCCTACATCACTGGAGATGCACAGAAGGTAGGACAGCCATCCCAAAATCCATCCCAAATCCATCCCAAATCCATCCCAAACCCCATGGGTTCCGTGGCACACTGTCACATGGGGAAGGGGGTGCCCCAAAACCACCCCAGCAGAAAGGAGCCACAGCTTCGACGTTGGACCCAAACCCACAGAGTTGCTCCATTCAGGCATTTTTGTAATGCCTGAGGAATGGGGAAGTGGAGGGCGAGGAGAAAACCCAAATATTATTTAAAGAAGCTGAGTAATTTTAGAATCAATGAGTTTATTCAAACTTTCTTTTTCCCCGTCCTTCCCCTCTCGCTGGGGCAGTTTTGTGGAGCTGCTGTGTGGGTTTCCTTTGTTTGTGGTGCCTGTGATCCTGGAGATGATAATAATATTAATAATACTAATAAATAAATAAAATAATAATAGTATTTATAATAGTAACAACAATAATAGCATAATAATAATAATAATAATAACGACAACAATAATAATAATAGCGGCTATGGTTCTGAATACATGAAATTATTCTTTATTTTTACTATGATCATAATTATCTACCTGTGGTCCTGTATACTTGAAATTATTAATTATTATTATTATTATTATTACTAATATTACTAATATTACTATTATAGTTATTATAATTATTACCATTATTATTATCATCATTATTATTATTAATTGTTTTTGTTGTTGTTGCCCTCACTGATGTGCAGCTGGCTCTCCTGAGCAGCAAATTCCTTTTTCCTGCCTGTTTTTTGGGATCTCCTCCACGTGCAGGGAATTGAGAAGAATCCTCTCCCCCAAAGGCTGGAGGTGCTGCCCACCCTGGGGGTGGCCCTGCCACCCTCCCTGTCCCCCAGCCTGGTGGCTTTGTCCTCGTTAGGAGCTTAAAGCGCGGGGATAATGAGCTGGGCTCAGCAGGGATGGCAGGAGGGTGAAGGTGGCTCAGCCCCGCCCTCTCCCAGGGCTGCATTTGGGATCAAAGTGCTCATTTAGGAGCAGGAGCTGGGCCTGGGCAGGAAAACGTGGCTGTGAGCAGCCTCTGTTCAGCCCGGGGAGAGAAATGGCTTTTTGAAATTTGCTTTTCCCCTGAATAAACTCCTTTCTGGGCTGCACAAAGATGTGCTGTGTGCCGGGGCTGCTGCCAGGAAACTGCAGCCCCAGAACCCCTGGGAAGGGCTGGGAAAGGGGGGCCGGGCCCCTCCTGTGCCTCTGGCTCTGGCAATTGCTGTGCTGGCTCTGGGGCAGCCCAGGTAACACATCCTGCTCTGGATGTGCAGGATTCCTGGGCCGAGGGGAGGCAGGAGCTGCAGAGGGGCCCCCCCAGAGGGGCTGGGATTTGGTGTCCCTGGGGGAAGGGCATCCCCAGGTGCCAGGCGGGAGCCCTGGGTGCCCTGGCATCCCCTGCCCAGCCGGGAGGGGGTGAGGGGAGCAGCTCCTGCCCCGTGGCTGAGCTGGAGCAGGTGAGATTCCACCTGGATTTTGGGGTGTCTCCAAGGCTGGAGGCTCCCCCGGTTCCCCGGGGAAGCTTTGTCCCTCTCCAAGTGCTGCAGCCACCCAGGGGGACCTCCCTGGGTGTCCCTGTGTGCCCCTGTGTGTCCCCTGTGTGTCCCTGTGTGTCCCCTGTGTGTCCCCTGTGTGTCCCTGTGTGCCCCTGGGTGTCCCTGTGTGTCCCCTGTGTGTCCCTGTGTGTCCCTTGTGTGTCCCTTGTGTGTCCCTTGTGTGTCCCTGGGTGTCCCTGTGTGTCCCTGTGTGTCCCCTGTGTGTCCCCTGTGTGCCCCTGGGTGTCCCTGGGTGTCCCTGGGTGTCCCTGGCTCTGGGGTCCTGTCCCTGTGTGTCCCCTGTGTGTCCCCTGTGTGTCCCCTGTGTGTCCCCTGTGTGTCCCTGGGTGTCCTGGGGTGTCCCTGGGTGTCCCTGTGTGTCCCCTGGGTGTCCCTGGGTGCCCCTGTGTGCCCCTGGGTGCCCCTGGGTGTCCCTGGGTGTCCCTGGGTGTCCCTGGCTCTGGGGTCCTGCCCCTGTGTGTCCCCTGTGTGTCCCCTGTGTGTCCCTGGGTGTCCCTGGGTGTCCCTGTGTGCCCCTGGCTCTGGGGTCCTGTCCCTGTGTGTCCCCTGTGTGTCCCCTGTGTGTCCCTGGGTGTCCCTGGGTGTCCCTGTGTGCCCCTGGCTCTGGGGTCCTGTCCCTGTGTGTCCCCTGTGTGTCCCCTGTGTGCCCCTGTGTGCCCCTGTGTGCCCCTGTGTGTCCCCTGTGTGTCCCCTGTGTGCCCCTGTGTGTCCCCTGTGTGTCCCTGGGTGTCCCTGGGTGTCCCTGTGTGCCCCTGGCTCTGGGGTCCTGTTCCTGGGTGTCCCCTGTGTGCCCCTGTGTGCCCCTGTGTGCCCCTGTGTGTCCCCTGTGTGTCCCCTGTGTGTCCCCTGCGTGTCCCCTGTGTGTCCCCTGTGTGCCCCTGTGTGTCCCCTGTGTGTCCCCTGTGTGTCCCTGGGTGTCCCCTGTGTGCCCCTGTGTGCCCCTGTGTGTCCCCTGTGTGTCCCTGGGTGTCCCTGGGTGTCCCCTGGGTGTCCCCTGTGTGCCCCTGTGTGTCCCTTGTGTGCCCCTGGCTCTGGGGTCCTGTCCCTGGGCACCTTGGGCAGAGCCTGGCTCCTGGGTGACACCCTGAGTGTCCTCAGGGCTGCTCCAGCCCTTGGTGGCCCCTCTGGGCTCTCTGTGGCCCTGGATCCAGCCCTGCAGGTGCTCCCCAAGCCCAGAATCCCAGGGAAAGCCCTGCCCTGAAACCCAGGCTGCCTCGGCAGCGTCCCCAGGCCACAGCTCCCTTGGGATGGAGTTGTGGTTTGCAGGGAGCGAGAGCCAGAATGATCCAGTCCTGGGGAGCAGCCAGCTGGGAGAGGCCTCTCCTGAGCCCTCTGGCTTGTCACACTCCTTCGCTGCCCTTTCCAGAGGGAGTGAGCTGAGAGCTGAGCCTGGAGGTGCCGCCAGGGGGGATCCCCAGCTTTGGGGTGTCACTGCAGGGTTGGTTTTTCCTGCTGTGAGGTGACAGCAGTGCTGGGGGTGCTCCTTGTCCTGCTGGGAGCCGTGTGGGTGCCAGGGCTCTGAAGCAGGTGCTGTTCTGCAGGCGGTGGAGTACCGGGGCTGGGCTGACACCTTCTTCCTCGTGCAGTTCACGCTCTCCTGTGTGATGGGGTAAGCAGGGGCTGCTGGGCTGGGGCAGGGAAGGCACCTCCATCCCAGAAATGGGGATTCTGGTGCCCTGGTGTTACTAAAAACCGTCACAGTCCTGCTGGGGAGACCATTCCTGGGAGCTCTGGTGTGTGGGGATTATCTCCCACCCTCCTCCAGTGCAGGGTTAGCTGAAAAAGTGGGAACAAAGGGTGGGAATGGATCCTGGGATCCTGGAGTGCTTTGGGCTGGGAGGCACCTCAGGCTCCCCTCATGCCCTGAGGGGCAGGGACCCCTCCCCAGGCCAGGGTGGGGGCATGAGGGGGTTCCCAGGGGCTGTCCCTGATGGTGGCTCCTTTCCATAGGTTTATTCTGATGTATTCCACGGTTCTTTGCACTCAGTACAACTCTGCTCTTACAACTACAATAGTTGGCTGCATTAAGGTGCGTGGCATTCCCCAAAAAAGCCCCTCACTTATCCCTTGGGAATTGTGTTAACCCTCGTGTTCCACCCCCTGTGGTCCCTTTCCCATAAATTCCATTTTTCATACAATTCCCTCATCTCAGGCTGTTTGTTCCTCCCATCTTGTTCCTTTGCAGAATATTTTAATAACCTATATTGGGATGTTTTTTGGAGGAGATTATATTTTTACATGGATGAACTTCATTGGTCTAAATATCAGGTAAGAGCAGAGGTTTATTTATGAGTTGTAAGTGAAAACTGGGGTGAAACTGAAACTATTTGACACATTTAATGGATTTCCCCCCCCCCCAGAAAACCCCCATGGTTTTGGGCTTTTGTACTTGATTATTTTTTGTGCTTGTGCTTGGGTTTTGTGCTTTGTGCTTCGGTTTTGTGGGATGTTCCCAAACTTGGTTTGTTTTAAAGCCAGGAGAACCCACAGGGGTATTTTAGCAGGAAAATGGAGTTTTCCCTGAGTTACCAAGCAGAGTCATGGAATTAAGGCAGCAAAAGAAAAATTTTGGGAATTATTCCATTTGCATTATTATTTTTGGGGGTTATTTCAATTCCAAGAATTTGGGGATTATTTCTTATTATTCTTATTATTTCTTATTCTTCTTGTTATTATTTGGGGATTCATCTTATTATTCTTATTATTTGGGGATCCATCTTATTATTCTTATTATTATTTGAGGATCCATCTTATTATTCTTCTTATTATTTGGAGATCCATCTTATTATTCTTATCATTATTTGGGGGTTCATCTTATTATTCTAATTATTATTTGAGGATCCATCTTATTATTCTTATCATTATTTGGAGATCCATCTTATTATTCTTATCATTATTTGGGGATCCATCTTATTATTCTTATTATCATTTGGGGGTTCATCTTATTATTCTTATTATTATTTGAGGATCCATCTTATTATTTGAGGATCCATCTTATTATTATTATTTGGGGATTCATCTTATTATTGTTATTAGTATTTGGGGGTTCATCTTATTATTATTATTTGAGGATCCATCTTATTATTCTTATTGTTATTTGAGGATCCATATTATCATTATTTGGGGATTATTATTATTATTATTATTATTATTATTATTATTATTATTATTATTATGTTAATCTTATTATTCTTGTTATTGGAAAATATAATACTGGACAATATCTCCTTTGTGGGCTGTGTGGTGGGAGTCTGTCCTGTCCTTTGGGGTGGCACAGATGTGGAATGACACAAAGCTGTGGGTTTGGGAGGGAAGCTGGGGATTCTGCTGGGGCTCTGCCTTTCCCCGGGGTGTGTTTGATTGCCGTGAGTTTCCCGGAGCTGTTCCCCACGTTCTCCCCGCATCCCCTGCAGTATTGCCGGGAGCCTGGTGTACTCGTACATCACCTTCACGGAGGAGCAGCTGAGCAAGGAGCCGGAGGCCGGCGCCCGGCTGGACCTGCGGGGCAAGAGCTCGGTGTGAGCCCGGCGCTGCTCCTGCCGGCCTGATGCGGGCAGGGAGCCCGGGGTGCTGCTGATTAGCACGGCTGAGATCGCTGCCTTCCTTCTCAAACCCTCGGCACCGCCCGCCCGGCCTGCGCGGGGAACGAGGAGCCTAATTGAGCCTGATTAACGGGAGGAATTAACGGGTTTCTAATCAAGGTGGGGCTGGCAGTGGAGATGGGCACGGGCAGGGCTGGTAGCTCTGCCCCGGGGTGTGCCAGGGTGTCCCTGGCTGGATCTGCTTGCTGGGATCCTGGATCTGCTCCCTGGGGTCCTGGATCTGCTCCCTGGGATCTGGATCTGCTCCCTGGGATTCTGGATCTGCTCCCTGGGATGCTGGATCTGCTCCCTGGGGTCCTGGATCTGCTCCCTGGGGTCCTGGATCTGCTCCCTGGGATCTGGATCTGCTCCCTGGGATTCTGGATCTGCTCCCTGGGATGCTGGATCTGCTCCCTGGGGTCCTGGATCTGCTCCCTGGGGTCCTGGATCTGCTCCCTGGGATCTGGATCTGCTCCCTGGGGTCCTGGACCTGCTCCCTGGGATCTGGATCTGCTCCCTGGGATTGTGGATCTGCTCCCTGGGGTCCTGGACCTGCTCCCTGGGATCTGGATCTGCTCCCTGGGATTGTGGATCTGCTCCCTGGGGTCCTGGACCTGCTCCCTGGGATGCTGGATCTGCTCCCTGGGATCTGGATCTGCTCCCTGGGATGCTGGATCTGCTCCCTGGGATCTGGATCTGCTCCCTGGGATCGTGGATCTGCTCCTTGGGATGCTGGATCTGCTCCCTGGGATCTGGATCTGCTCCCTGGGATCATGGATCTGCTCCCTGGGATCTGGATCTGCTCCCTGGGATTGTGGATCTGCTCCCTGGGATCTGGATCTGCTCCCTGGGATTGTGGATCTGCTCCCTGGGATGCTGGATCTGCTCCCTGGGATCTGGATCTGCTGATCCCGGCGGGCTGGGAGCTGGGGCTGGCTCTGTGCCCAGCCTGCTCCCTCTGGCACAGGGCAATGCCCTGGGAGCTGCTCCTGGGCTGGGCTGAGACCTCCTGGGTGAATGTTCACTGCTCTCTGGACTGAATTTCAGCTGTTTTCTGTTGGTTTTCTGTTTGTTTGGCCCATTAACCCACTTTCCAAGCTGGGTTTGCCCTCCTGGCTCTGTCAGAGCCCTGCATCCACCTCAGTCTCTCCGGGGCTGGTGACATTCCCAGCAGGAAGGGTTTTCCTGCCCTGCTGAGCTCTGCAGCCTCCCTTGGGTCCAGCCTGGCTTTGGGAAAGCTGCTGCCTCACTGGGAGCATCCCAGGAGAGCCAAGGTGGCACAACTGGCACAGCACATCAGGGAATCGCAGGGGCTGCAGCTCCCAGCCCTGGAAGAGGCACAAGGACTTAAATCTTCTTTTTTGGCAAGTACAGGGGGCCCCATAATTCTTGTTTTCCATGGAATGAATCACCCTGGGTTTGTGACCCACTAAAAGAATGGGAACTGTAGAACACTGTTCTACACTGTTTAGTTCAGTGATTTTTAAAGGTTGTCTTACCCAGCGCCTCTTTCCAGGTTGTCTTTTGGTTTTAAAAGGATTGTTTTTAAGCTTGGTTAAAAAACTTTTAGTAAAATAATGTATTTAAAGATTTTTGTACCCTAACAGCTTCTCTAGACACTGACAGTGGGATTTTTTTAGGAGATACTTGCTTAAGCTGAACTGCTGTTGGGCAAAGCTGCATTTGTTGGAATTTTCTGGAGGTTTTTGGATGGGAAGGAGATTTTCTGTGAGGGTGCAGCTCCAGCCTGGTGTGCTGGGGAAGGTGTGGAGCGAGTCAGCTGCTGCCTGCTCCAACATCCCACTCCTGGAGCAATTCCAGAGCCACAACTCCCCTTTTTTGGGGGATTTTGTGGTCACTGCAGGCATTTGGGGTGTCCTGGAGCAGCCCCTCTGCACATTCCCCCTGTGAGCACAGTCAAAAAGAAATCCCTGATTATTTTGTCTCCCAAAGTTCCAGTAAAACCTTGGCTTTGTACCGGGCAGGGAGGGTCCCAGTACTGGTTCTGGTTTTGTACTGGTTGTTCTGGTTCTGTCCTGGTTCCCAGTGCCCAGGTGCTCCTGCCCTTGCTGCAGCATTCCCAATTCCCAAATCCCAATTCCCAAATCCCATTTTCTCCCCCGTGTGCTCCAGCTGCACCGTGCTGAGGTCACAGCCAGCAGGGTGATTCTGCCAGAGGGGTTTTTATGATTTTCTGTTTGTTTTTGAATCTACTGGTTAGATTTGCAGTTCTAACAGAGAAGGATTTTTAAAGCTTTTTTTTGTCCGTGCTGGGATCCTGCTGGATCCTAAACACTGGGAAAGCCAAGAATTCCTCTAACAGTATTTTCTATGCTATTAATTGACTAAAAAACAAATGTTTTCTATAGAGAATCTATTTACAAAATGAGCATTTTAGTGATGAAAACCTGAATGTATGGCAGGCTGTGGATGTGAGGAGTGAGAGCAGAAAGGATTTATGTGCCTCTGTATTTTTGTATTTGCTTCCAATAAACCAATGAACCAAAGCTGCTGCTGCCTCAGCCTCTCTTCCCTGGTGGAGAGGATGGGAATGCTGGGGTGGATAAATCTGGGATTTAGGGGCTCCTCACAGCCCCCAGGCCCTGCAGGGTGAGGGGGGAAATTCTGGGTTTCCAGCTTTGAATATTCCTTGGGAAGGGATTTGGAAACATTACGGGGAACGAAGGGAACAGCGGGAAGGTGATGCAGAAAAATGGGTTTTGTTTCCATGGGTTTCAGTGCAGAGCACCAGAGTCACTGCTCTCCCAGCCTCTGAGAGGGAATATTCCACCCCTCTGGAGCAAGGAAATCAGGAATTTTGGATGCAGACAGTAAGTTTAAAAATATTTTAATAAGCTTTTCCAGAATTGCAGACGGGGAAGGGGAGGAAGAGGAGGGAATTACCGACAGTGCAAATACTGTGTGGAAAAAATGTATCCAAATAATCTGTGGGGTTTGTGTGTGTGGGGGGAATTTATAGCACATTGAACCCTCTGGGAAGCCCAAGGATTTCCTGTTGGACTGGATTCCCAACTGTACAGAAGGTTTGGAAAATGAAAGCAAAGTTAGCAGATTTCCAGGATTTTCAATAGCTTTAGTAGTGCAATGACTTATTGAGTTACAGTGGCTGCAGTTTGAAACATGAACAAATATTGTATAAAACACCAGCATAAACAAAAGGTAAATTAGAATTAAATATTCTTAAAGTCTAGCTGAGCATTACATAGTGGATTATGGAATGTCAGGTCTCTTCTAAGTATCACCAAAAGAAAAAATAAAAATAAGGAAAGATAAAAAACAAAGCAACACTCCTGAAAATATACACAGTGCTGGATTTCACACACGAGCCTGAGACAATTCATTTGGAAACTTTCCTATGGATTTTTGGGAAGTATTTCCAACTTGCAACCGAGAACAAAGAGCATCAAAATGAAACTGAAAATAGGATTCTGCTTGTGTGGAACCGTCCTTGAGGTTCTGCTCACGACCAGAGGGGAGAGTTAACAGCAACCTCTGCCTCAGGCATTAATCACTGCATTCCTTAATTAACACAGGCCTCAATTAATGAGCCTCACCCAGAGGCTCTCCAGGAGCAGGGCTGGCAGGCAGAGCTGATCATTCCCCAGGGTTCCGCATCCACAGCCCATCCTCATCCCCAGGCTTGGCTCATTCCTGATCACAAAGTCCAAGGGAAGGTCAGTGCAGAAGAAACCAAATCAGCCCAAGCCCTCAGCACTGGGGTTTGGGTTGAAACATCCATTTCAAACCATTCAGTTCAACTGCAACCATAAAGAGCATAACCCTGCAGAGAAAATAACCAGTGAAGGATGAACAGCACACCTGTGAGGAGGAGGAGGAGGACACGGGGTCAGCAATGGTACAATTGAACAATTATCCCGGATTTGAACAGAGCAGAAGTGGAGCTGGGCTGAAGAAAACAACCAAACAAAACCAAAGTGAATTGGGATTTCAAACGTTCCTGATTGCTGGATGTAAATCCTACACCCACAACTTCTCACTGGTGCTGCTGGCAGGGTGACAGCACCCTATTGCCATTTATTGATGAGGAATTTTTGGTTCTCACACTGGAATTAGCTCTCCCCAGCTCAATGTGAAATTCCTGCTCTCCCTTCTCCAGGTGAGTGTGTCCCTGTGCACCAGCACAGAATTCCAGGATTTCCTAGGCTGGAAAAGACCTTTGAGCTCATCAGGGGCTCTCGGTGCAGCCTCCTCAGCAATTCCATCCAGCCCCAGCTGCATTTCCAGCCCTGCTGTGCTCCCTGAGCCCGGCAGGGCACGGTGGAGCAGCTGGACCTGCAGAAGGTTCAGCAAACTCCACAATTTGGCTGCTGGGAGATTTCTCTGCCTTCCAAACAAAGGGAGAAAGAAAGCAAGGAAATGTGTGCAATGCAAGCAGCATGCTTAACAAAAATTGAAACATCATTGTTTGCCATAAAACAAGAAAATAAAGCACATTTCCAAAATCAAATGCCTCCTAACCATTCTTATGTTAATTATTTACCAGTTTCTGGGAAGAAAATTAACACGTTGGTGATTAATTTTTAACTCCATTGGTTTGGTTTGGTTTGGTTTGGTTTTTTTTTTGTTGGTTTTTTTTTAGAAAAGACTTCAGCAAAATAAAAGGAAGCTGACATTAGACTCAGGGTATCAACTCTCTCATAAAAGTTTACCAACTGTACAAGGTAAGAAAATTATACAAGCTTTTGTTTTAAGAAAGGACAGTTCAATCAAGACATAAGTACTGTAAAAATCTTTCAAAGGCTACAAAGAAATCTGGAAAAATACAGAATGTATTTCTTTAGCCCAGATAAAGAATATGGAAAGACATCATTGATGTCAACAATTTTACATAGACAAACCTGACCTGGTTTATTTATTTACCTTTTAAAACTTCTATATATAAAAATAGTTGTGCTCATAACTTTCAGGATTCATGAGGGTTCCTTAATGATGGGATGACATTTTCCTCTCTCCAGCAGGAGTGGAAGTCTCTGTGCCTGCTCTGTCTTGGCTTTTCCTGTTTTATTTTAACTTCCTGCAAAGCCCCAAATGCTTTGTTCACTTGTACACTGATTAAATGCTGTTTTATACATTAAATGCTGTATTAACACATTCTTTAATGTATTAGGCTGGGAATATTTTTGCAGCAACTCACTGCTTTGTTCCTTAAATATTTAAGAGCCTTTTAATCCCAGAACTGCAGCTGCCAGCTCTGAGAAATCCAATATTCTCCTGCTGCTTTTCAGCACTGAAGAAAACCAAATCATCGGATCTTTAGAGCCGACTAGAAGGTCTCAGGAAACAAAAACAAAAATCTCAGATTGTTTATGGAACTGGACTTTGGAAGGTAACCCATCAACCCTGAAAATTTTAGACACCCAGAATTTACTCCAAGGAATAAAATCAGCTCCCAGCACTCAGTCTTCCAGAGTTTCCAGCTCCTCCAGCTTCCCGTGGGAGTTGGTTTCCTGGAAGAACTCCGCAGCACCCGGGCTCTCCTTCCCGTTGCTGTTCATCCTCCTTCTTTTCAGAGGCCTCTCGCTCTTCTCCTCCAGCTCAGGCTCGTTCCTGGGGGCTGAGTGAGCCCCTTTGGGCTCACTGGGGAGGTTTTCGGGCTCGTAGCCGTTCGTGTCCAGCTCTGGGTGAGGAGTTTTCTTCCCACTGCAAGGTCCATTGGCGTGCAGCCCCTCCAGCTTGGCCTCCTCCTTCCCTGGCACCTCCCCTGGGCCGTTGGCAGAGACACCTGGCAGGGAGAGAAACCCTTCAGCGAGGCTCAGCAGCACAACTGCCTGGGCTGCCTCAGCAAAGCGCAGTTTGAGCTCAAATTCATTTAAAATCCAGGGGTTTTCTCCTTCTCCTCACTGTGTGACTGATGTGCACACAACTGACAGAACCCATGGAAGTGCTTAAAAGGAACAGAGAATGTCCTGGAATTCCAGGACCCCAGGTGAGCTCTCCTCAGGAAAGCAGAATTTGAACTCAAATTCCTTAAAAATCCAGTGTTTTTCTCCTTCTCCTCACTGTGTGACTGATGTGCACACAACTGACACAGGGAGTTCATGGAGTGCTTAAAAGGAAGAGAATGTCCTGGAATCCCAGGACCCCAGGTGGGTTCTCCTCACCTAGGTTGGCTCAGGAAAGCAGAATTTGAACTCAGAATTCATTAAAAATCCAGTATTTTTTCCTTCTCCTCACTGAGTGACTGATGTGCACACGGTTGACACAGGGAGTTCATGGAGTGCTTAAGAGGAGCAGAGGATGTTCTGGAACCCCAGGATGCAGGGCTGCAGGTGGGCTCTGCTCACTGGGCTCTCTGTGCAGCTTCCAGGAGATTTCCAGGCTCTGAGTGAGTCCCCAGCTGCTCCCTCAGCCCAGCTCTCCCCCCTGGCTCCTGTCCCATTCCCAGCCCTCAGAACAGCTCCTGAGGAGCAGCAGGAGCTCCCCAGGGCCCAGCTCCCGACTCCCCACAGCCCTGAGTTCCACCTCTGCACGGCACAGGGCACGCAGGAACCCACAAACCTCAGGTCACAGGAAATTCCTGGGGGCTTTATCTTCCTGACAAGGCCCTTGCCCAAATGCAAACATGGAGGGGTCTTTAAAAACCAGTTTGAACTTGAAATAGGCTGCTTGTCTGTGGGGGTGCCCACCTGGAGAAGAGGAGGCTTTGGGAGAACTCAGAGCCTTTTCCAGGGCCTAAAGGGGCTCCAGGAGAGTGACTTGGGACAAGGCACGGAGGGACAGAACACAGGGAATGGCCAGGGACAGATGGGACATGGGGAGAGAGGAACAGGAGCAGCCAGGGAGGGTGGGAGGGGCTGGGATGGAATTCCCAGAGGAGCTGTGGATGCTGCATCCCTGCAGTGCCCGAGGCTGGCTGGGGGCAGCCCGGGATGGGGATGGTGTCCCTGGCAGGGCAGGGATGGGGATGGTGTCCCTGGCGGGGCAGGGATGGGGATGGTGTCCCTGGCAGGGCAGGGATGGGGATGGTGTCCCTGGCAGGGCAGGGATGGGGATGGTGTCCCTGGCAGGGCAGGGATGGCTCCCCAGGGCAGCCCGGGATGGGGATGGTGTCCCTGGCGGGGCAGGGATGGGGATGGTGTCCCTGGCAGGGCAGGGATGGGGATGGTGTCCCTGGCGGGGCAGGGATGGGGATGGTGTCCCTGGCAGGGCAGGGATGGGGATGGTGTCCCTGGCAGGGCAGGGATGGGGATGGTGTCCCTGGCGGGGCAGGGATGGGGATGGTGTCCCTGGCAGGGCAGGGATGGGGATGGTGTCCCTGGCGGGGCAGGGATGGGGATGGTGTCCCTGGCAGGGCAGGGATGGGGATGGTGTCCCTGGCAGGGCAGGGATGGCTCCCCAGGGCAGCCCGGGATGGGGATGGTGTCCCTGGCAGGGCAGGGATGGGGATGGTGTCCCTGGCAGGGCAGGGATGGCTCCCCAGGGCAGCCCGGGATGGGGATGGTGTCTCCCCCCTCACCGTTGGGGGTGCTGCTGGAGGCGCTCTCGTCCCGCTCCGACTGGCTGGCGCTGCTGTTGGAGGCCGTGGGCGGCGGCGACGGGGCCCGGCTGGAGGCGGCGCTCTCGCTCTCGTCCAGCAGGCGGTCCATGTAATCCCTGCGGGACAGACAGACAGACAGACACAGCTGGGACAGGATCCATGGAATCCCTGCGGGACAGACAGACAGACAGACACAGCTGGGACAGGATCCATGGAATCCCTGCGGGACAGACAGACAGACAGACAGAGCTGGGACAGGATCCATGGAATCCCTGCGGGACAGACAGACAGAGCTGGGACAGGATCCATGGAATCCCTGCGGGACAGACAGACAGACAGACAGAGCTGGGACAGGATCCATGGAATCCCTGCGGGACAGACAGACAGAGCTGGGACAGGATCCATGGAATCCCTGCGGGACAGACAGACAGACAGACAGAGCTGGGACAGGATCCATGGAATCCCTGCGGGACAGACAGACAGACAGACACAGCTGGGACAGGATCCATGTAATCCCTGCGGGACAGACAGACAGAGAGACAGAGCTGGGACAGGATCCATGGAATCCCTGCGGGACAGACAGACAGACAGACACAGCTGGGACAGGATCCATGTAATCCCTGCGGGACAGACAGACAGAGAGACACAGCTGGGACAGGATCCATGGGATCCCTGCAAGACAGACAGACAGAGCTGGGACAGGATCCATGGAATCCCTGCGGGACAGACAGACAGACAGACACAGCTGGGACAGGATCCATGGGATCCCTGCAAGACAGACAGACAGAGCTGGGACAGGATCCATGGAATCCCTGCGGGACAGACAGACAGACAGACACAGCTGGGACAGACCCATGGTATCCCTGCGGGACAGACAGACAGACAGACACAGCTGGGACAGGATCCATGGGATCCCTGCAAGACAGACAGACACAGCTGGGACAGGATCCATGGAATCCCTGCGGGACAGACAGACAGACAGACAGAGCTGGGACAGGATCCATGGAATCCCTGCGGGACAGACAGACAGACAGACACAGCTGGGACAGGATCCATGGGATCCCTGCAAGACAGACAGACAGAGCTGGGACAGGATCCATGGAATCCCTGCGGGACAGACAGACAGACAGACAGAGCTGGGACAGGATCCATGGAATCCCTGCGGGACAGACAGACAGACAGACACAGCTGGGACAGGCTGGAGATGCTCCTGCACACACTGCAGCTGTGGGAAGGTTTCCCATTGGCAGAGGGCAGGGAGGGCTGGGATTTTGGGATGGCATTGCTCCCTGGGATGGCATTGCTCCCTGGGATGGCATTGCTCCCTGGGATGGGATTGCTCCCTGGGATGGCATTGCTCCCTGGGATGGCATTGCTCCCTGGGATGGGATTGCTCCCTGGGATGGCATTGCTCCCTGGGATGGCATTGCTCCCTGGGATGGGATTGCTCCCTGGGATGGCATTGCTCCCTGGGATGGCATTGCTCCCTGGGATGGCATTGCTCCCTGGGATGGCATTGCTCCCTGGGATGGGATTGCTCCCTGGGATGGCATTGCTCCCTGGGATGGGATTCCCCAGCAGCTCTGGCTGCCCCTGGGTCCCTGGCAGTGCCCAAGGCCAGGATGGACACTGGGGCTGGAGCACCTGGCAGTGTCCTCTGCCCCCATCCCTGCCCGCTGGATGGGCTCTGAGCTCCCTCCCAACCCAAACCATTCCATGATTCCAAACCCTTCATGTGCTCCCAAGGGGATCCCTCCAGGCACTAAACCTGAATTTGCTGAGCCCCCAATACCAAACCATTCCAGTAAAAATAAATCCCATTTGTGCACAAAAGCCCCAAAGGGGTCAAGCTAACAGCAAGTGAAAAACTCCGGAGTCCAAGACATTCCCATCTGTGCCATTTATTCCAGAGCTCCAGTTCAGGGCAGGATGAAGGTGGAAACCAAGGGAGCTGGTGGATTAAACCCTTGGATGTGGTGGGAGGGCTGGAGTAACTCCAGAAACTCCTCCTGACACGTAATTATCCTGGAATTCCACCCTGAATTCCCTGAATTTATCTGCAAAATCATTCAAGAGCAGACAAGTCCAGTCCTTAATGACACTGCTGCTGCACCCAACAGCAGGAAGAGACCCAAAAATGTCTCATTTGGGGAAAATGGAAAATAGGGAAAATGGGGGGAAAAAATGGAAAACAGGGGGAAATGGAAAATAGAGAGAAATGGAAAATATGGGGGAAAAAAACCCACCAAGAGATGGAAGGGAAGGGGGAGCCAGGCAGTCCCTGCCAGGTAAGAAAGTCTCTGTAACACCCACAAAGTCCCTGATGGCACTCTGGGCGTCCCAGAGCCCTGAAATGTTTGGAGGAACAATAATATTCCAAAGAAGGATCAAGAGAGGAGCCAGGAAGAAATGAGGAATGAAAATAATAGTAAAACAGCTTGGCAGGAGGCAGTGGAAAGAGTGGGACAGGCAGATCAGAGCTTTGGAATGAAGGGCAGCAGAACAAGCTGGGAGCTCTGCTCACACATCCCCTCTCTCCTCAGCAAGGATGGGAATGGGGAAGGAGCTTTGGAGAGCCCAAAATCCCCTGGGATTTGTGTTGTGCTGGCCAGAATGATGGACAAACAATGCACCACAAATTCCACCTGGGAATGGGAATTCATGCTTTTGTAGAAAATATATTTAATTAAAACAAACATTAAAAAAAACCCTATTAACATTTAAAAAGTAAACCAACCAAATCCTGACAGAACTCAAACTCAGATTGCCCCTCAGTGCAAAGTGTTGGCCTTGCCCCAAATAAATGTATTTTACGTATTATTTATACACACTTCGGGCATTTTTTTACACTTTGGCTGTTTTCCTGCTGCAAATTAGGCTCTGAATCCCTGAATTTTCAGCTGAGAGGAAGACAAAACAAAGACTGAACCCCAAAAATGATGAAATCAGGCACATCTTACGTGACCCCAGGGTGCAGGTTGTATTTTTTCTTCCCAAAGCGGGTCTGCTGAGCGAAGAAATCGTAACGTTCTGACTTTTTCCACATGTAATAAAAGGCCACACACTCCCCCACCGAGCGGGTCCGCACCTGCAGCACGCACAGACAACTTCTGGTCAAAAAAAATTCAGAATTTCTAGCAAAAAGTGACAAATTCCAACTCGACGCTGCGTGGAAGAGGGGAAATTCTTGAGGTAAAATTTCAAAATTGAGAGGGAAGTTCAGGGTGCAAAAATATTGGAGGGAAAAAAGGAAAGGGAAAGGGAAAGGGAAAGGGAAAGGGAAAGGGAAAGGGAAAGGGAAAGGGGAGGGAAGGGGAAGGGAAGGTTTGGGAAGGGAAGGTTTGGAAAGGAAAGGAAAGGAAAGGAAAGGAAAGGAAAGGAAAGGAAAGGAAAGGAAAGGAAAGGAAAGGAAAGGAAAGGAAAGGAAAGGAAAGGAAAGGAAAGGAAAGGAAAGGAAAGGAAAGGAAAGGAAAGGAGAGAGGAAGAGTGGAGGAGAGGAAGAAAGAAAGAGAGGAATAAAGAGAGAGAGAAAGAAAGAGAGGAAAGAAAGAGAGGAAAGAAAGAAAGAAAGAAAGAAAGAAAGAAAGAAAGAAAGAAAGAAAGAAAGAAAGAAAGAAAGAAAGAAAAAGAAAGAAAGAAAGCAAGCAAGCAGCTCTTCCCACAGGATTTTTGCACTTCCAGTTACAAATTCTGGGCTTTGAGAAACTAATTTGGATGTAAATATTGGGCAAAATTTGAGGAGGAAAAAATTGAGGAGGAAAAAATTCCTGCCTGGATCCATCCCTGGAAGGGTCCAAGGCCAGGCTGGAGCAAGGTTGGGATATCCCAGCAGGTTGGGATACTGGAAGTGTCCCTGCCCATGGGATCTTTAAGGTCCCTTCCAACCCAAAGCATTCCAGGATTCTGATTCAACAGAAAAAATGAAATAATTTTGTCCATTTCTTTGTGAAGTAATTCATAATTACTTTGTTTTAAAATGTAAAAAGTGAGAATTGCACTTCAAGTTTACCTTATTTGCCTGAATCACGTGGAAATCCTTGCCATAGACTTTCAGCCCTTGCTCAAAGTTCCTGCACTCCTCTTCTGTCCAAACAGATAATTCTTCTACAGCAAAATCAAAAATAAAAGCAATAAAGAAAATAGTTAATTTAAAAAGGCAACTGAAGTGACAGAAAAGATCTGGGCCCTTTCTCCAGCTGCTGATTCCATAGGAACCAGCCGAGGAATTTCACTTTTTGTTGAAAAATGGGAATTCTCCTTGGAAGAACCAGACTGGGAAATGGGAGGAGCTGGTTTGTAGGGACTCTATAAAGAAAATCTGATCTGGTCTCATTGATCCTTTGGGTCACAGTAAATCAAATGGTGGGAGAGCAAAATAATCACATTTATTGGATCCCTCCTGCCTGTGATGTGCCCAGGGAGAGCTTTGGAAGCTGAGCTCCCCCAGTTTGCTGTGCCTGACTGCAGCGTTTGTAATGTTATTTTTGTAAAAGAAAAGGTTTATTTGCTCCTTTATTTAGGATTATTTCACTTTATGTGTCAGGGTTTTTAATGCTACACTCTGTAAAATAAAAAATTAATTTGCTCCTTTATTTAGAATTAACTCATTTTACGTATCAGGGATTTTAACCCTATACTTTGTAAAATAAAAGGTTAATTTTCTCCTTTATTTAGAATTAATTCATTTTATGTGGCAGGGTTTGTAATGTTATACTTTGTAAAATAAAAGGTTAATTTGGTCCTTTATTTTGGATTGTTTAATTTTATATATTAGGGTTTTAAGTGCTACACTCTATCAAATAAAAAATTAGTTTTCTCCTGTATTTAAAATTAGTTTCGTTTATGTATCAGGGTTTTAATGCTACACTCTTTAAAACAAAAAAAAAAGTTTCTCCTTTATTTAGAATTAACTCATTTTATGTAGAATTTGTAATGTTATATTTTGTATAATCAAAGGTTAATTTGCTCCTTTATTTAGGATTATTTAATTTTATGTATTAGGGATTTAAATGCTACACTTTGTAAAATAAAAAATTAGTTTTCTCCTTTATTTAAAATTAGTTTAGTTTATATATCAGGGTTTTAATGCTACACTCTGTAAAACAAAAAATTAAATTTCTCCTTTATTTAGAATTAACTCATTTATAACATTTAATGTTATACTTCATAAAATAAAAGGTTTATTTGCTTCTTTATGGAGAATTATTTAATTTTATGTATCAGGGTTTTTAGCTATACTCTGTAAAATAAAAAATCAATTTTCTCCTTTATTTAGAATTAACTCATTTTATGTATGGTTTGTAATGTTATACTTTGTAAAAGAAGAGATTTATTTGCTCCTTTATTTAGGATTATTTAATTTTACATATCAGGGGTTTTAATGCTATACTCTGTAAAATAAAAACTTAATTTGCTCCTTTATTTAAAATTAATTCATTTTACGTATCAGGGTTTCCAATGCGACACTCTGTAAAATAAAAATATAATTTACTCCTTCATTTAGAATTAATTCATTTTACAAAGCAGGATTTGTAATGTTATTTTTGTAAGATAAAAGGTTTATTTGCTCCTTTATTTAGAATTATTTCATGTCTCATGTTTGTTGCATTCACTTTGATGACTGAAAGGTCTAGAAGAGCACAATAAAATACCTAAAAAATGCCCAGGTGAGTTGTCAAGAAGTAATTTTCAATTTGAATTTGGGGCTGAAATCCCAGACATTTGTATCAAATATGGCCAGGAAGGGAATTTGCACATCTGCTAATTCCAGTCTCCCAGAGAACAAGGAGAGATGCATTTAAATGAAGATTAAACCAATGTTCTGAGCCTGTGGCAGCCAATGGGGGTGGGAATCAATGGGGACTGAGGAACAGAAACTCACCCCTGGCTGCTTTGACATTGAACCTCAGCCTCCTCAAGGACTCCTCCGTGTCAAAATTGCACTTCACCAGCTCATAGAGGGCCTGCAGGGAGCAAAATGCACAGGGACCCTGCAGAGCCACCCAGACCCTGCTGAAAGCCCTGACACCTCTGAGGATTAAAAACAAACCCTTGGAACCAACACAGAGTAATCTAAGACGTATTTACTGAGTTTACACTTCCAATCTCTATTTACAGAGCCAAGAAAATGCCCAGGCAGAGCGCTGCAACTTTTTCATCCACTACACACATTTGTAAAACTGATGGAAGGGTTTTTCTGCAGCTTTTTCACCCACTACACACATTTGTAAAATTGATGGAGGGTTTTTTTGAAGCTTTTTCACCCACTACACACATTTGTAAAATTGATGTGTAGGGTTTTTTTTTGAAGCTTTTTCATTCACTACACAAATTTTTAAAATTAATGTGTGAAGTTTTTTGGGGTATGAAGAAAAAAATTAAGTGTGCATTCATAAAGAATTTAATCATTGAAAAATTCTGTACCCGAGAGAATTAATTCATACAGATTTTTATATATATATATAAAATTTTAATTTATTTTTTATGATATATTTATTTTACATAAAGCAACATTAAGCCCAAGTTAACAGTTTAATATTCTCTGAGAGGTAAAATCCTCATCAAATTTCTATTTCCACAAGGAACAATAAAACTTCAAACCCAATTTCACCTCTTGGGAGTAAAGTGAAATAAAAAGATGATTAATTCTAGAAAATAAACCGCATGTTTATTTTTTTATACCTGCTCATTGTCTTTAATGTGGGAGCCCTCAGGAATTGCATCCAGGCCCTTCTCCTCTCCCGTGCGCCTCGAGGCCTCGTTGAGGAATTCTATGACTTTGTCCTCTGGTAAAAAGTCAGGGTTCCAGAGCAGCTGGTCATCATTTTCATACACTGGACAGACCCCAGGGAGAGCACAAGAAAATGACACCATTATAATAAAATGAAATAATTATAAAGGTAATTATTGTCTCTGATCAACCCTGGGGGATCATGGGGGCACCATTAATCTGAGATCCAAATGATCTCGGTTTTGGTCTTGGGGTTTGGACTTTGCTTTCAAATCTCTGGCATGATCTGGGTTCTGGATTTTAGAACTCATCCTGCAGCTCCAGAATTTAAATCTCCACCTTTTCCAGAGCTTTCACAGGAGTTTGAGAGCAGGGAAGCCACAGTAAACTGAATTTAATGGAGAAATGTGGGCCAAGTGAGATATCTCCTGATTATTTTGGAAGAGTTTTATTTTGGAAGAGCCAAGCTCGGACTGCAGCAAAATAAAGTGAAATTCTGGCTATTAAAGTAGGAAAATATCCAGAGCTTGGCTGTGGGCTCCAACAACCTGAGGAAGAGCAGCAAGGAAGGAATTTGGGCACTGATTCCAAGAGGAATGCTTGGGACAGAACAGCCAGCTCAGGGAGGGAGGTGTGGGGGAGCTCAGGGGGCTCAGACATCAATCTCTACTTGGAAAAAGTATTTTATCATGGAAATAAATACAAATAAACCCCCCAAGGTGGTAAAGAAATCATTAAATGTCTTGCAAAGAAAGCAGCTTCACTTCCCCCAGGACACACTTTGGGAACAGCTCCCAGGAGTTTTTGGGGTTTTTGTTCCAGAGGTTCCCACTCAGCTGATGTTTGGCTGCTCACTCAAGAAAAATAAAGAGTTCTAGGAACCCTCAGAGAATCCTGGAATGGTTTGGGTTGGAAGGGACCTTACAAAGCATCCAATTCCACGGATTCCCCTGGGAGGAGGGATCTCCACTGTGGCAGGTGCTCCAAGCCCTGTCCAGCCTGGCCTGGGATCCCCAGGGATCCAGGGAATCCAAACCTCCCTGGGCAGTGGGATAACTGAGCACAAACTTGGGTTCTGGGAGGGTTCCAGGTTATTTAAAAACTAAATTCTACACAGCTACAAAGAAATCCATTCTCATTGACCTGCAGTGTGAGCAAATCCTTAGCAATGGGCTGAATGAGCAGGAAAATTTCCTTTTTCTGCTCCCAGCTGGGTTCAAACTGGATCTGCCTTTCCTGACAGCATCCAGCCAAAGCCTCTGCTTGGGATGAGGGGAAAAATTGCTGGGAAAAAAATCCACAAGAGCAGAACTTCTTCTTCCTGATTGAAGAGGTACAAAATGTGAAAAGCAAAGCTGCTGGTACCATTTTGCCCTTTTTACTGTGATAATCCAGTTCCAGCAGTGCAATTTCTCCATTAGCTGTTTCATTTCACACAAAAGAAATCCAGAAGTGAAGAGGCTGCAGCTTGTGTGGACCACTAAATCAGAATCCAAGGGTTCAAGAGGCACCAGGCCAAGAATAAAATCCTTCTTTTCCTCTTCCTCCAGCTCTGCTGAGCACAGGATGAGCTCTAATGTGATGATGGTGGCTCTAATTGTCACTCATTTATTAAGACACATGACATCAATCCAGTCTTTTCCTTCTCCTAATCAGACTTGGATCCCAAGCAGCAATAAATGGTCAAATCTCACCTTTTTCATTCTCTTTGTATTTGCAGGTGCCAGCTGGAATTTCAGCCTGGAACATAGAGCCCACCATGATTTCCTGAGCGGAATAAAAAGAAAAAGTGAAACCCCCCCTGAGATTTTTTGTTAGCAAACAGGAGCATGTTCACATCTTTTTTCCTCCCCTCTTGAAACTTTTGTTGTTTAAAATCTAAAAATGCAATTAACAGGTTCAAAATTGAAGGCAGCTATATGGAAATGGATTTTTGACTGCTTGGGGAGGATTTAAAGACTTCTCATTACCAAAACTCTGCTATTTATGGGGAAAATCTGCAGAGGATTTAGGTGCTCCACAGAGCTCAGAGTTCCCCAGTAACAGATTAATTAATTATTCATGAAATGTGGGCTGAATATTTACCTTTTTCCAGTCTTCTGAGGGAATATAATCTTCATCTTCTTCAGATTCCTCCTCTATTTCACTATCTGCAAGGAATTTCACAGACATGTGAGCCAGAGCAGCAGGGCTGGCAGAGCCAGCAGCCCCAGCCCTGCTCCCTGCCTCCCTCCTTATCTCAGGGACACTTTTGGGGACAGCACTCCTGGCTCAGCAGTGACAAGATTAAAAAATGACCCACCCAGATTTGGATTAAGATACAAGCCAGGCTCTGAGAAATTGAGACATAAATAAAAACATCCCTAAATTTTGTTACTAAATTCACATTTCTTTTCCCTTGGCTTTGAAGGATCCCCATCCAAGTTTATTCTGAATTTGTGGGAATATTTTTGTGGGTTTCAAGCCCTTTTCCATCAGCTCCTGGCTTAGTTGCTGCTGGTTTTTTCAGGGAATTTCAGGTAGATCTCAGCAGAAGGTGGCAGAAATCTGGGAGTGTTTCCTCCTGGGATTTGGGAGCCTGGGATGCCCAGCAGCACTTCAGGAGATTATTTGGGATAAGGACTGGCAGGAATGTTAAGCTCTTTATGGTACAGGCCAGCTGCCTTTCCCAAGGTGCTGGTTTCTGTACAGGATGGGATACAGCAGCATTAAAATTATCTAGACATTAAATGACATTTTATAGACAGCTGAAAGCCGTGGAAACCCCCAAACTTATTGCAATACACTTGAATTAAGTTAATTCTGTGCTTAAAAATAGGAATTTATTCAATATATTTGCAATCCTCTGCACAGCTACATACTTGGCAATTCTTCATTTAAATTTAAAGGTTCCTTGGCAATTTTGGATTTAAATAAACCACAAAATAATAATTGCATTTCTAACTAATAATTATCAAGTGTAAGGTATGGTGAGGAACCTTTTATTTGTTCAAACACAGAACAGAAGGAATTCAAATTGCAACAGCCACTTTTATTGAAAAAAAGATAAAATATCTGCTTTCCCAAGCAGCCCAAAAGGGTCAGATCCCATCAGGGGAGATTCCAGGGAAATCAGAGTTCAGGATGCAAAATCCATTTGTAAACAAAATAAGTATGAGAATGATCAGCTCAGTGCTGGCAAAACTGGAATTCTTGAAGCAAATTTTCTTCCTTGTGACCTCCCCCTTCCACTATTTCAGGGTTAGCAATTCTTGGTCTTTTCAGATTTTATTGCTTTTCTGTTTCTGAGGAAATCTGTGCTTTATTTGTAGGAAATTTCAGTTGATTCTTCCCTTCAGGTGGACTCTGAGCTCCTCTGGATAAGGACAGAGCCCAGGCTTTGGCAAATAACCAGAGCACACCAATTAATTTGAACCTGTAAAATGTCAAATTTCAATTATTCATTTTCCCAAATCTTTCTCGTAAAATCAGAGATAACTCCTGTCCTTCCACAGAGCCAGCAGAGCAGCCTCAACCCTCAACTAAAACCAGGACTTCCCTTCTTTGTTTTGAGCATGATTCTCATGCACAGCAGTGCCATGAGGAGGAAAACTCAATATATTTTTTTAGGGCTCAAAATGCATTTCTGGCTCAGGATACTGGGATTTTGGGGCTGATGAAACTGGACTTACTGGTATCAAAATATTTACAGCGCCGAGGGCGAATGATCTCCTGGGGGTCCTGAGAGGCCACAGACGGGGCTGGGTCATCGTTGGAGGACTGGGTCTCATCCTCCTGCCCCGACGAGTCCTTGATGGTCTCCTCCTGCCACAACAGCAAACCACAACCAATGGGGGAGAAAATCAGCAGCACCTCACTCATCCCTGGCAGTGAAAAATCTGCTTTTGGCAATATTTTATTAATAGATTAACCCCAAATCACTTTTATTTGTGGCATGTCCAGGCTGAGCCACCACAAATGTAACTTCTTATCGTGTGAACACATTTTGAGGTTGTTTTTTAAGCAGATAAAACTTAAATCTTTGCTTTTTTAAATTCACATGGTTTATATTTAATTTCATTTCAATGACATTTTACTTTGGTCTCCAAAATAATTTCTCATGAATTTTCAATAAAAAAGGGAGAGATTTGGATGGAAATAGTACCTGCCATAAAAATCCAAGTGAATTGGGTGGTTCAACCCCACAGGAAGAACAGGCTTGGCTCAGTACATTGACACAAGATCAAAAATAAGAATAAATTCCTTAATTAGAATAAATTCTTTTATTAGTAACATTTTAATGCGTGAACATACTCTGAGGTTGTTTTTAAGCAGATCAATAGAACAGCCAGACTGTAACAAATCAGAAATATGGATCCAAAGGAAATCTGAATCTTTGCTTTTTTTAAATCCTTGTGGTTTTTATTGAATTTAATTTCAATGAAATTTTACTTTGGTCTTTAAAATCCTTTCTCATGAATTTTCAATAAAAAAGGGAGGCATTTAGATGGAAATGATACCTGCCATAAAAATCCATGTGAATTGAGTGGTTCAACCCCACAGGAAGCACAGGGCTGGCCCAGTACATTGAGCTAAAAATCCAAATAAATTCCTTTATTTGCAGACAAACCACCACAACTACAGGAATTATTACAGGCAGAGAAAATGATAAATATTTTTTTAAATGGATTTTGGTGCTCCCAAGGCTGCTGCTGCACGTGTGGTGCTCTGTGCTGGCCACCCAGGGGCTGTGAGGAGCACCACGGCCAGCACACAGGGTGTGCACTCCAGCAGAGCCCTGTCACACGTGCAGCTCAGAGCAGATTAAAAATAGCAGCAGTGAGGGCAGGGAGGGAAACGGGCTGGGAGAGCTGAGAGGAGAGAGCTCTGATCCCACGGTGCTGCACCCCCACAGCAACAGCCTGCAGCGCCCCGAGCACAGCCCCACAGCCAGGGAGCACACACGGCTGGGGGGCTGGGGGGGATGGGATGGGATGGACTGGGATGGACTGGGGGGGCTGGGATGGATTGGGATGGGCTGGGGGGGGATGGACTGGGATGGACTGGGGGGGCTGGGATGGACTGGGATGGGCTGGGATGGACTGGGATGGGGGGGCTGGGATGGACCTGATCCTAGGGCTGGGATGGACTGGGATGGGCTGGGATGGGCTGGGATGGACTGGGCTGAACTGGAGTGAACTGGGATGGGAATGGGGGGTGCCTCCTCCCATTGTAGGGCTGTGATGGGCTGAACTGGTGTGAACTGGGATGGACTGGGAGGGCCTGATCCCAGTGCTGGGCTGAACTGGGATAGGATGGGATGGGCTGGGCTGAACTGGCGTGAATTGGGATGGGCTGGGCTGAACGGGTGTGAACTGGGATGGGAGTGGAGGGTCCTTGCTCCCAGCGCAGGGCTGAACTGGTGTGAGCTGGGCCAGAGCTGCTGAGGGCAGAGTGGCAGCCCTGCACTGTCCCTGGAGTGGGGCCCTGCAGGGCACAGGACAGGGGTGGCTCCTGTGTGGGACACAGGGACAGCACAGGCAGGGCCTTCCCTCCATCAGCTGCTGGGAGCCCCGAGGACAGCCAGGATGGCATTTGTGCCAGCAGGGACTGAGCACTGAGGGCACAGCAGCAAGTGACCCTGCAGGAGCAGCACCGAGCTCAGCCAAACGAACATCTGGGCCTTAGTTTGATTCTGCACAGGGTGACTGAGGTTGGAGAAGCCCTCCAGGATCACCCAGCCCAAGCTGGGACCCAGCCCAGAGCCCAGAGTGTCACAGCCAGGGGCTCCCAGGACACTCCAGCCCCTTGCAAAGCCTGACCACCCTTTCCATGAGGAAATTCTCCTGAGAGAATTTTCCCTGACAGAATTCTCCCTGCAGCCTTCATGTTACATAAGTTTCTCCCCCTCCCCTGAACCTTTCCTGATCCAATCCCACTCTGGATCTTCCTTTTGAACTGTTCAGCCCCCACAAAGAACAATCCTCTCCAGCACCTGTCAAGGCAGCTTGTAAATCCCAGCAACTTCAGTTCCTGACTCAGATGCACCATTCCTCATCCCTGCGTGCCATTCCAGGGTTTCTCAAATAGGTGAAGGTACCAAAGCCCAGAATGGATCTCTTTTAAAGCCACATTAGGAAATGAAACCTCCTCTAAGGCCTCAGCTTTTGTGTCACTGACAATTCCAAGGAGTTTGGATCTTAATGGAATTCAGGATGCAGCAGCTGTGCCCATGACAGGACTCTACATTCCAAGTAGAAAAATCTCTTCTTTAAAATCAGAAAAATATTTGAAGGTAACACAGAAAAGGAGTTTCAAAATGCTAAGCTCAAAACTAAACATTTGGCAAAGATACTTGAAGCATTAGGGTGAGTTAATTCAAGTACAACCAGGCTGGAAAAACACAATTTAAAAGGCTCAGGCTGGAAAACCTGCAGGATTTCCAAGAGCCAGAGCCACATTTAATCCAGCAGTTTGTGCAGTTTCAATAATCAGCTTTTCTACTCCAAGTGAGTGTTCAGCTGTATCCCTAAAGGTGTCTGCAGGCATTTAAAATGTCAGTGCTGAGGCTGAAGGACAATTCCCATCCCTCACATGATGCTGCATCCAGGGATTTTCAATTGCCTCTGCTTGGGATGAGAGAGATGGAATTAAGAGCAATTAAGAGAAATACAGATTGGTAATTAAGAGTAAACCTTATTAGTAAAGCAAGGTTTATGAAATCAACTCTATTACAAATTAGCTCTGCCATGACCTGGGACACAGAGTAGTGCGGGTATGCAAATCACAAATTTACATATGCAAATGAGCACGCATTTACCTTGTTTTCCCCACTGCAGCCGCTGTTGTCATCGTTATCGACATCATCGTCGTCTTCTCCCTCCTCCTCCTCCTCTTCTTCCTCCTCCTCCTCCTCCTCCTCCTGCAGGGGCACGGTGCCGTCGTAGCCGTAGCGGCTCAGCAGCTCCTGGATGGGCATGTCACTCTCCTGGGGACCCAAGAGAAACTGGGATTAATGGGATACCCCACAGGAACTGCTCCATGGCACCAAGGCTCTCACCACAGCACAGGGAGCGGGGCACCAACCCCAAGAGAAACTGGGATTAATGGGATACCCCACAGGAACTGCTCCATGGCACCAAGGCTCTCACCACAGCACAGGGAGCGGGGCACCAACCCCAAGAGAAACTGGGATTAATGGGATACCCCACAGGAACTGCTCCATGGCACCAAGGCTCTCACCACAGCACAGGGAGCGGGGCACCAACCCCAACAGAAACTGGGATTAATGGGATACCCCACAGGAACTGCTCCATGGCACCAAGGCTCTCACCACAGCACAGGGAGCGGGGCACCAACCCCAACAGAAACTGGGATTAATGGGATACCCCACAGGAACTGCTCCATGGCACCAAGGCTCTCACCACAGCACAGGGAGCGGGGCACCAACCCCAACAGAAACTGGGATTAATGGGATACCCCACGGGAACTGCTCCATGGCACCAAGGCTCTCACCACAGCACAGGGAGCAGGGCACCCACACCCAGAATGGTCACTATGGACTGGCAAAATTAACTGGAAGTTTGGGCTCCTAAGGAAAATGTGGGGTTTCTGTGTGGGATAATTTATTTCCCAATCCTTGATTTATTTGCAGCAGAACTCCAACCCCAAGAGGATCTCCTGCATGGGCATGTCACTTTCCTGGGCAAAATTCAACCAAAACCTGGGAATTAACAGGGATATTTCACAGGAATTTCTCTGCAGCACCATGGTTCTCACCAAAGCACAGTGATCAGAATGGTCACTAGAACTACACCCAGATTGGCCACTATGGGCTGGCAAAACTGGAAGTTTGGGCTCTTAAGGAAAATGTGGGGTTTCTGTGTGGGATAATTTATTTCCCAAACCTTGATTTATTTGCAGCAGACCTCCCACCCCAACAGGATCTCCTGGATGGGCATGTCACTCTCCTGGGAAAATCCCAACAAAAACTGGGAATTAACGGGGATATCCCACAGGAATTGCTCTGCAGCATCAAGATTCTCACCAAACTACAGGAATCACTAACACCCACACCAAGAATGGCCATTCCAAAAGGAATTCCTTCCCCAGCTGGAAACAAACCTGCTAAACCTTAAAAAATTTTATTTAAACATCATGAAAAAGCTGGTCTGCTCTGAGGAGACATTTCAATTTGTACTGTCAGGTCTCAAACTAATTCAAGTACAACAAAGGCTCCCAAACTCTCACCTTTATTAATAAAAATTACTAATACATACTACTAATAAATACTTTTAATTAAATTTGGTTAATAAATAGTATCAGTAAAAATTGCTGGCTCTGCTAATTAATTTCATTATTACTTTTAATCCTCAGTGTCCAGCCTCTCTCCCTAAGTGAGATTTTTCAGAGCAGAAATTCTCAGGGATCATTTAAAAATTCTCTCTCAAAGCATCAAATCCTTTGTTTATTATTTGGAGTTGTGTGCTTGCTCTAAACAGTTTTTTCCTAGTATCTAATGCACATGTTGGCTGATAATCAGATATTTTTAGTTATTGGCTGACCTTAGACTTCCTATCCTAAGGGCCTGCCCTGATCTAATTTCTGGAAACATCCCAATAATCCCAATGACAAAAGTGGAGCTGGTTGTGCTCTGTAAAAACAAGAGTGACAGGGGTTATCTGTGCTTATTTTATTTTATTTTATTTTATTTTATTTTATTTTATATTTTATAGAACTGAGCCATTCTAGATCTTATTCCCCTACTCTCTGGTTAAGCTTTACACCCAACCATACAAAAAACATGGAATTAAATGGTTTTTTTTGGTCCCCACAGTGCCACTTGATGGGGAATAAATATTTTACTGACACAGATAACATGAAAGGCCTGTGCTCTTAATTAAACTTGGCAGTAGAGCCAGCAGAAAAATCATCCTGGAATCATCCAAATGCGCTCCAGGACATTTTGGAAAGTCTTTAAGCACTCCAATCCCACAGAGCTGAGAGTTAGAAATGAAAAATTGGAATTTGCATTTTTTTGGGGGAATTATGGAACAGAAATATCATTGACCCTGTGTTACCCAGCAAAGGGGTTTGTATTTATAATGTTTTTTCTGTATTTATAATGTTTTTCTGTATTTATAATGTTTTTCTCAGGTTAAGCCTCTTAACTTCAAATAGTCCATTGCAATTCCAACAGCTCCAGGGACCAGCAGCTCTCCAAGAGAAAACAAAAATTGGGATTTCTTCATCGCTTCAGGGTATTGCAAAATGGAAAAGGTGAAAAAAATGAATGTATTTATTTATTATTTACCCACAGCTAGAGGTAACCACTGGCTATGAGGGGATAAACTGAAGGGCTGTAATGTGGTGAGAGAGTTACATGAAATACGAAGGGAAAAAAGCCAATTTTCAATTTAAACCCCACATGAGAGACATGTGGAGCTCCACTCCTCATTTAATCTACATAAAGCACATTTAGATTCACCAACTATTTATGTATCTTTATGTTTTCCATTTAGTATCAACCTGGAAATTAGCAGATTAAAAAAAAAGATAATTTCCACTGGAAATATAGATTAAATAGAGTAAATTAATTTCAAGTCCTATTGGCAGAATCACTTAAGCTAAATAGGATTTGTACATCAAATATTCATTAGTGAATCATTAATGATCTGTTCTGGAGGCCAACAAGGCCACAGACAGGATCTAAATTACTCTGCATTTATAATGAACCCACTTGGTAATTTAAGAATATTATTCCTGCCTGAGAAATAATTGAAGACAATACAGAAGTGACAGTAGAACCAGGAAGAAATTAGCATTTACACTGGAAATATTGATTAAATGCACCAAATTAATTTAAAGTGCTATTGGCATAATCATTCATGCTTAAATAGGGTTTGGACATCATTTCCTCTGCATCTTCCTTTAAATGAGGCTATTCCTAAGTGCTCCACTAGTTCACAGATATCTGTATCAAAATGCACAAGAAATGTGAATTATGAGAGGTTTTGTTTTAAAATAAGAACCTACAAGCACTACTCTGGTGCAGCTGGAATACACAAGTTTAGTCAGATGATATTTTAATTTACAGTAGTTCTAAAATTTACATCCTGTAGATGCAAAAAACAACTAACCAAGCACATTATAAATATTTATGTACCATTTATTTCCCCCAATTCTTGGTAAATTTATTCAGCCTTTCCCTCTCTTTATTATTTATGTATTAATTTTTTTTGTTTGTTTTTTAATTCCTGCATGTTTTGTGGGTGTGCTTTGGGATCTGTTCCAGATTGCAAGGCAAGATGTATTCTGTGTGTCAGTTGTCTTTTGTCAAGTGGGCAGTTTGCCTTATCTCTCTGAGTGACCACAATCACTCCTCCCTCAGGGGAGATATCTGCTGATAACAGCTATTGAATGATAACAGCTATTGAATGTCCCTGCATGGCTGATAAGAACTACAGCATCCCATTGGGAGATGTGAGCCCAGAGGGAGGAGCCAAGCATTCCTGCCTGGATATAATCTGGAGATTCTGGAACACCAGCCAAGCATTCCTACCCGGATAGAATCTGGAGATTCTGGAACACCAGCCAAGCATTCCTACCTGGATAGAATCTGGAGATTCTGGAACACCAGCCAAGCATTCCTGCCTGGATAGAATCTGGAGATTCTGGAACACCAGCCAAGCATTCCTGCCTGGATAGAATCTGGAGATTCTGGAACACCAGCCAAGCATTCCTGCCTGGATATAATCTGGAGATTCTGGAACACCAGCCAAGCATTCCTACCCGGATAGAATCTGGAGATTCTGGAACACCAGCCAAGCATTCCTGCCTGGATAGAATCTGGAGATTCTGGAACACCAGCCAAGCATTCCTGCCTGGATATAATCTGGAGATTCTGGAGCACCAGCCAAGCATTCCTGCCTGGATAGAATCTGGAGATTCTGGAACACCAGCCAAGCATTCCTACCCGGATATAATCTGGAGATTCTGGAACACCAGCCAAGCATTCCTGCCTGGATAGAATCTGGAGATTCTGGAACACCAGCCAAGCATTCCTACCTGGATAGAATCTGGAGATTCTGGAGCACCAGCCAAGCATTCCTGCCTGGATAGAATCTGGAGATCCTGAACACCAGCCAAGCATTCCTACCTGGATAGAATCTGGAGATTCTGGAACTCCAGCCAAGCATTCCTGCCTGGATAGAATCTGGAGATTCTGGAACACCAGCCAAGCATTCCTGCCTGGATAGAATCTGGAGATTCTGGAACACCAGCCAGGCTTCTGCACTGGATTGCCCAGAGGAACAGCAGCTGCCTCTGCCCCTGGATCTTCCACCCTTCTACAGGGAACCACCCCTGACACTGCAGGAGGGCTGAGCCACAATTCCAATGGGATTCTCCAGGATCCCTGCTCCAGCAGAACCACCCTGACACTGCAGGAGGGCTGAGCCACAATTCCAATGGGATTTCTACAGGATCCCTGCTCCAACAGAACCACACTGACACTGCAGGAGGGCTGAGCCACAATTCCAATGGGATTTCTACAGGATCCCTGCTCCAACAGAACCACACTGACACTGCAGGAGGGCTGAGCCACCATTCCAATGGGATTTCTACAGGATCCCTGCTCCAACAGAACCACACTGACACTGCAGGAGGGCTGAGCCACAATTCCAATGGGAATGTCACAGGATCCCTGCTCCAGCAGAACCACACTGACACTGCAGGAGGGCTGAGCCACAATTCCAATGGGATTTCTACAGGATCCCTGCTCCAGCAGAACCACACTGACACTGCAGGAGGGCTGAGCCACAATTCCAATGGGATTTCTACAGGATCCCTGCTCCAGCAGAACCACACTGACACTGCAGGAGGGCTGAGCCACAATTCCAATGGGATTTCTACAGGATCCCTGCTCCAGCAGAACCACACTGACACTGCAGGAGGGCTGAGCCACAATTCCAATGGGACTGCTGCCAACACCCTGACCCACAGGGTGACAGGTTGGGTTCTGACTCTGGCAGTGTTGTTTAGTTTACTGCATTGTTTATTTTATCCTTTTATTTCCTTCCCTATTACAGAACTGTTATTTTCTGCTCCCATACTTTTTGCCTGAGCCCCTTCATGTAAAATTCATAGCAATTCAGAGGGAAGGGGTTCACATTCTCCATTTCAGGGGAGGCTCCTGCCCTCCCTAGCAGACTCCTGTCTTTCCAGACCCAGACAGGCTCCTGGAGGCCACCTACCCTGTTGAGATCCTCGATTTCAGACCTGAAGTTTGTCTCCCCTTCCATCATCTCCTCCTCCTCTAGTGTGCGCTCGTCGTCGAAGTCGTGCACCAGCATGTCAGCCGAGGGGTCGAACTCATGGTCGTCAGAGGCTGCTGATCCTCCTGGGAACATTCCAGAAACAGCTCAACCCCAGCAGCCTGCAGCTCTGCTGGCCTTCAGCTGTGTCTGCAGGGGAGGCTCGCAGCAGAGTTGTGAGCAGAAATTCCAGTTATGGCTCCTCTGCCTCTGCCCAGGGAAACTCCCCCTGTGGGGAGATCCTGGCAGGAAGGAGCAGGAACCCCCTGCACAGCACATGGGAAATTCTATCTGGGAGCATTTCAGCCTTAAATAATCACAAACCTGCCTCCACTGAGCTCTACAGAGTCAAAACCTCACCATTAAAAACTCACAAATCAAATCAAATAAAAAGTCAACAAATAAAAACTCAAAAACTAACTCGCAAATAAAAACAAATAAAAACATGCAAATTAAATCTAACTCACAAATAAAAACTCACCAAATAGAAACTTATAAAATAAAAACAGATAAAAACTCACAACTAAAAACAAATAAAACCTCACAACTAAAAATGCAGCAGGTAAAACAAAAAACCTCACAAAATTCTCCCTTAATCCCAGTCCTGCTCATATTTACCCCCTTTTCTCCTGATTTTAATCCCAACCCTGCTAATCTTCTCTCCTGAATTTTAATCCCAGTCCTGCTCATATTTTCCCCCTTTTCTCCTGATCTTTAGCCCCAATTCCGCTCATATTTTCCCCCTTTTCTGATTTTTAATCCCAACCCTGCCCATATTTTCCCCCCTTTTTTCCCTGGACAATTTAAATTCCATTTTCCAAGCCTTGCCCCACACTGAGGGTGTGACAGGGAGGAGTGACTCTAAGATTTAATTATGAAGCACTTAATTATTTCTCTGAAAGAAATAAAATCTCAGGAGAAAACAACAATGCAGCTGAAGGAACTCCTGGAAAGTTTTCCACCCATAAGATGCCCAAACCCTTGGAAATTATTAAAAATATTTACCTGGGCTTGAAGACTCAACAGAAGGCTAAAAAAAAAGAAAAGAAAGGAAATTATTTTTGGTATGTTGAACCTGTGTAAATAAAATTATTTAGCTGATAGAGAACAATTCACTGCAGAAAAACAGATTTATAAATAATAAATTTTAAAATAAATTTATAAATATTATAAATAAATGTCTATAAATAATAATTAAATTGATAAATAAATGTATACATTTATAAATAAAATTATTTACCAAGGTAAACATTACTTTCATTTTAGCTGTGATTGAACTCCAGGTATAAATCCCCTTTTCCACAACCAAGGGATATCCCAGATTCCACTGCCAGTGAGTCTCAGTTTAAGAGGAATTATTAAGGAATTATTTAATTATCATTTAATAAATTAAGAGGAAGCTGAGCACAAATTCCCTGTTCTCCTTCAATTCAGGGACACACTTTTTAAAAAAATCCCAAATCATAATAAGAACGCCTTACAGAATAAAGGAAAAAAACCAATTTAATCTGAATCTCTAACTCAGATGTGAGGAAAAATGAAAAAATATTATTTTTGAGATAAAGAAAATTATTCCCTAATTATCCAGGTAGCAGAGCCCCTCTTTGGCCCAAAATTTGGTACCCTGGTCTTTACAACCCCCACAAACAAATTCTCCCATAAAATCCTGCTTTCCCTGTGCCTTGAACCCCTGGGGGGAAATTTGCATGTCAGCCATTCAAAGCTCATTTGTTTGGATAATTCAAGCAAATGCTCCCACTCTTTTCAGGCTCACAGTAATGAAATGTTTATTTCCAAGGCAGGAAAACTGAATTTTCCCCGTGGTGCTCCTGCCACCTCCTGCAAACTCAGATATTGTTTGGCACCGTGGATTTTGCTACATTAATTAATGTATAATGCTGTCCTCAAGGAAAAACTTGGATTTTCTGAAGGGTTTTCCTTCCCCTTGCCTCCTTCTCAACTCAGGCTAGTGATGCAGCAAAGCAAAAGCTAAAACTGAAAAAATTCTGTCTGATTTGAAGTTTTTTTATATCAAAAGCTAAAACTGAAAAAATTCTGTCTGATTTGAAGTTTTTTATAACAAAAGTTCCTCAAAGAGAGAAGAGACCTTCTTATGGAATAATTTCCCTTGCATGTCCACCTCTCTTTTGTGGGAGTCCCCAGTGTATCAATGGACTCCAGAAGTGTCCAGAATCAGGAAAATGCAGAATATAAACACTGAATTCCCTGCCAGCATCCCATCCCTCCCTGTGTCCCCTTGTCCCCCTCTCCAGCTCTCCTGAGGCCCCCCAGGACTCCCATAGAAATTCCCATTAATGGGGAAACCCCACAAATGTTTTTGCAGATTGTTGCACAACACCAGGGGAAGTTTTGCTAATCACTACACCCAAAAAAGTCTTTATTTGCAAAGATTATCTTAACAAATTCCAGAGTCCAGGACTCCTGATCTGGAGCTGAATATCAGGATCAGCAGCCTGGACTGGTCTTTATTTGGTGATTTGTTTGTCTGATGAACCTGCATAATTAATAGAATGCAATACATGACCATTAATACAAATTAACAAAGTCTTAACGAGTTTATTGCAGCAATCTTTGGTTGGAAACTGTGAGAAATGAATTTGCAGAGAAATCTTAAAGTGTGACCCAACTATTTCTTAGTTGCAATACACTATAAACATTTCTTAACCTATCAACTTTCATAACAGTATGTTAAAAATACCTTAAAACCAATAATCTGAAATGACCCCTCATAAATCCTACTATAATCCACCTTTCATAACTGTATTTCTCCAAAATATCACATCTTTTTTACAAAACCGCTCTTTAAAACTTGTTTCTAATTCCATTTCTCTCTCAGCAATTTCTATCCTATTCCATTTCTAAATCAACATTTCTTATCTCAACATTTACATAGAAATCCACACTATGGGAATCTTCTGTCAGACTTGAACATTTCTCTACAAATCCATTTCCCAGAGGAAACCAAATCAATTCAATCTTCCCAGACCAGGAGGGAAGCCACAGAGAGCCTCCCCTTTTCCTCCTGGAAAGGGCTGGAATCAGCACCTGCAGGTGTCCCAAACCAGGTGGCACTTGGGGACATGGACTCATGGCATGGATTCTATGATCTTTTCCAACCTTAATTCCAGGATGAAAAATTATTCCAGCAATGACTCTGCCCTCCAAGGAACAGAGCTGGATTCAAAGGCCTGAGGAGAATTTATTCTGAGGGATAAAATAATTTCCTTAGGAAACAATCAATTCTGCAAATACCATCTTAGAACTCCTCTTGAATTAAAATTATTAAAGCTTTAGCTGTGATCTAACTCCAGGTATAAATCCCCCTTTCCACAGCCCAGGGATATCCCAGATTGCACTGCCAGTGAGTCCCAGTCCAAGAGAAATCATTCCAGTTTGAAGCTGAGCACAAATTCCTGTTCTCCTTCAATTCAGGGACACACTTTTTAAAGGAATCCCCAACCACAATGAGAACTCCTCATGGAATGAAGGAAAAGCCATTAAAGTGTGTTGTTATTGGGAGCTCTTACCCAAATTGACACTCACTTTGCCAAAAAAACCTCTTTCCAAAACATTCCCTGCTTCCCTAGATAATTTTGGCTGTAACAGAGGAGTTTTGAGGAGGTCTCAGCTGCAAAGCAGGTTATGGGTTTATCACTCAGCAGTGCCAGCCCTGATTTGGTGACAATCCATGGGAATTCTGGCTGCTCCATGCCCAAGGGGCTGACCCAGCTCAGCTCCAGCCTGGGCAGGGAAGTTCTGGGAAAGGCCCTGATGCAGAAGGAAGAACAGGACACAAAGCAGGGATCAGGGGAGTTCAGGGAGCTGTGGCTCCCAAAAGCAGCCCCTGGCTCTGTGCCCCTTCTCCCAGGCTTTGCCAGTGACACCTGCCCTGCCTGTGCACTCTCCTGTCTGCATTCCTGCCCTTCCAGCCTGGGACGAGCTGCCAATCATTTCCTGCTTCTATTTCCAGCCCTGAGCAGGGTCACACTCCTGCTCATCTTTATTAATGCCCAGCTGCAGCCAGGAGCAGCCCTGGCCTCTGGCACCCCTCCAGTGCCAGCTGTGCCAGCCCATCCCCAAGGTGACTGGCACCACTTCTGCAGCCTCTCCCTGACTCTGGCCTCTGTGAGTGCCAGCTGTGCTGCAAACACCAGTCTGGGGCTGGAAAACCCTGCAGTGCCAGGCTGGCAGCGCTGAGGGTGAGGGAGCAGCCTCTGGTTGCAGAGCTGCTCCAAGACAAGGCTGGTCAGTCCCATTCCCTGCCTCCAAGGGATGGTGGCTCTGGCCAGGGCACAACAGATGGCTTTGGGGGCATTTAGTGAGGACAATTTCCTGGCACTGCTGAGGGTCACATCACAGATCCACACTCACAAGGATGGCACAGCCACGGGACAGGAATTCCTGGGAAAAGGCAACAGGAATTCTATCACAGAAGAACTGATAGGATTCTTGTTCTTCAGTGGATATTCATTTCCTGCCCAGCCATTCCCAGGGAAGCACAGAGCACTTTTTGCCTCAAGGGCACTCCTGGGAACAACGAGCTGCCACCTATCAAAGGATAATGGGATCCAAGGCCCGGGAGAGAAAAATGCAAGAAAAATCAGGGATAGTGACCATCCACAGGCAATGCACGCTGCAATTGTTCTGGAAGCGCACCATCAGCAAAGGTAACAGTGAGCAGCCTGCTGTGAGCTCAAAGGAATGAAAATCACCCAGGAACTCCTAAGTCATGGACACTGAGCAGATCTCCAGTGAGCAAGGACTCCTGCTGCAGGGATACACCCAGGAGCTCTCCTGCCAATGCTCCAGGGCCTGGAGGGAGCCCAGCTCTGGGGGCTGCAGGAACAAACCCCAGGCAGAGAGGGAAAGCACAGACACTGAGCCCCAAAGCACCAGCACTGCTGGAATGTCACTGTTGGATTCCAGGGGTATTTTCAGGGAACTCAGGAAAGACAGGACTTCCCAAGGTGAGGGACACTGGCAGCAACAACCAGCCAGATCACATCCAGTGCTTTCCCAGGATGTATCCAATAGGATATGGGATGGATGGGATCTATCCCTATCCTCAGGGTGTGGATATGGGGTAGATGGACAGATCGCATCCAATCCATTCCCTGCATATGGGGTAGATGGGACAGATCCCATCCAATCCATTCCCTGCATATGGGATAGATGGGACAGATCGCATCCAATCCATTCCCTGCATATGGGATAGATGGGACAGATCGCATCCAATCCATTCCCTGCATATGGGATAGATGGACAGATCCCATCCAATCCATTCCCTGCATATGGGATAGATGGGACAGATCGCATCCAATCCATTCCCTGCATATGGGATAGATGGGACAGATCCCATCCAATCCATTCCCTGCATATGGGGTAGATGGGACAGATCCCATCCAATCCATTCCCTGCATATGGGATAGATGGGACAGATCCCATCCAATCCATTCCCTGCATATGGGATAGATGGGACAGATCCCATCCAATCCATTCCCTGGATATGGAGTAGATGGACAGATCCCATCCAATCCATTCCCTGCATATGGGATAGATGGGACAGATCCCATCCAATCCATTCCCTGCATATGGGATAGATGGACAGATCCCATCCAATCCATTCCCTGCATATGGGATAGATGGACAGATCCCATCCAATCCATTCCCTGCATATGGGATAGATGGACAGATCCCATCCAATCCATTCCCTGCATATGGGGTAGATGGGACAGATCCCATCCAATGGGACAGATCCCATCCAATCCATCCCCTGGATATGGGAGAGATGGGACAGATCCCATCCAATCCATTCCCTGCATATGGGATAGATGGGACAGATCCCATCCAATCCATTCCCTGGATATGGAGTAGATGGACAGATCCCATCCAATCCATTCCCTGCATATGGAGTAGATGGACAGATCCCATCCAATCCATTCCCTGCATATGGGATAGATGGGACAGATCCCATCCAATCCATTCCCTGCATATGGAGTAGATGGACAG